TGATGCAAAACACTGTTGTTTAGATGATTCATACGTTACCATGGTTTTATACTGTAGGTGTAGTCATGCTGAAACTGGGTCAGACTGTGAGCCTCCATGTTTTCACGAACCGTTATTCTCACCATTTTATCAGCAGCGCTCACCCACCCTTCTGGAGGCTGGAGCCATATTGCCGGTGCTGTAGTATGTGTGTGCGTGTTCTGCGCATGTATGTGGCAGGTCGGCGCAGGCAGGCGCAGGCAGGGGGCCAAACTGGGAGTGGGCTGCTGACTCAGCCACCAATGGTGCATTCATTTATCTGCACTGCAGTGCTCCGCCGCACCCTATCTCCCTCCCACTCCTTCGCTCTCTCTCTCTCTCCCTCTCTCTCACACACAAAGCACATACGCACCTCTGCACACGAAGGAGCAGGAGACAGAATTTTGGTGATACAGACCAGGTCTCGCCATATAGATTCATTTGCATGAGTGGATAGAAAAAAAAAACCTGAGGGGAAAAAAGTGCGCCATAAGGTCTGAAGGGGTTCCAAGCAGGAAGAGGGGAGTTGAAAAAAATGACAGAGGAACCCATGTGACCAGCAGAGAGGGAAGCAGAGGAAGGATTCTGTGAAATGGAGGAGGGAGAAAGAGAGAAAGAGAGAGAGATGGGTAAGGAGGGGGGGAGGAAGGGATGGAGCAACAAAAAAGTGATGGAAGAGGGTGGCAAAAAAAGCATAAATAGAAACTGAACAGAATTATTTGGGGAAAAGCAACAAAAAATAAAACAATTTAAAAAAATGGAAGCAATACTTCATAATTTCTCAGCCTGATCTTTATCTGCCTCTTCTGTAGCTCAGAATTAGATTAATTACGACAATCATTTTGACATATTTCCTTTTGTGTAGTAAAATAATGGAGAGCTCATTTACAATAAAAGCCAATGAGCACCTATGATAAGTGAGTATTATACTTCTGTTATAAGTCATTCCATTGTGTCCACAGTGTTCAATATCACATGTAAATGAAAAAAAAAGTGTTTATGCTTAATTATATTAAGTAAAGCTCATCATTAAAGGGTCCGATGACTTTTCAAAATATCTGAAGAATTCAGTCGTTAAGATGTACACAGAGATGTGAAATGTGCCACTCTGTTGAAACCAATCCATATTCAATATAGTTCACAGCGATGGGAACCAGACATCTTTGAAGCATTTAATGCCTTTAAAAGCTTCCTCACAGAAAGCTGTTACACCAAATGGTTACGAATGTGTCGCCCAGTGCCTGACACGCTGTTTTACTATAGTTTTGCAATAAACTTTTGGCCTAAAACATGTTTTTAATATTAAATAAAAAAGGAGGAGTTTTTTTTTTTAATTACATTACATATAAAATCAACATTACATATAAAAGGTTCACTGGTGGTTCTGGATAATAAATGAAGTGGCTACGTTTGGCACTGATCTTCCAAACATGTTTGAGTCATCAGGTTTTCTGCTCTTCTCAAAGTAAAGACATTTTTTATCCTTGGTATGTAACTGTGTGCTACAGATGTGGCAGATTGAGATTAGGATGAAAAAGGAAAAATGTCAGAGGATCCCCAACCCCCCCTTCCAAGCCCAGCTGCCTTGGCTGCGATTCATTTCCACAAACGCAATGCTGTAAAAGGCGCAAATCAATCGCTGTAAGAGCCAGAGGCTACGATCAATCCCCGGTCAGGTCGGCCAGTCACAGGGGTGTCACTGATACCTCAGCACACTGCTAATAGCTTTGTATTGATCTGCCTGCAAAAAGCATGACTTAGTGGCTTTCAGTCATGTGATCTGCAGTAGGTGCGGTGAGGATGTTGTTTAAGCCTTATTTGCATGAGGCTTTGAGAGTCTCATCTCAATTTTACACTCACAGCTCTCTGCAGAATGACACGCTGCCCAAAATGAAGGCAGGGTGTTGCCCATGCATTTGAATGCCTTATTAAATTGACGTTTGAAGTGAGTGGTGATGCAACAATGATACATCCAAGCTATTTTCAAGAGCATTTCGCTGCTGTCAGAACAAACCTTTTACCTCCAAAATGTTACATTTACAGAAGGAAGAAACATATTTTACATTTAATGTAAGTCAGTGTAAGCAGACATCTTTTCCAGGTCATTTTGGGTCATTTCTCTTGGTCCATTCATCATAAAATTAACAGACAATGTAAAGGGCAACAGGTATTTTCAAATTATGTCAAGAACTGAAAAAACGACAAAAGCGGAGATAAAAGGTTTTGTTCCAACCGCAGTGATAATTTGTAGAAAAAAAAGACAGTGTGCTCTGTATTGGGGTCTGCGGGCTATTAAGTACTGTGCTAAAGTCAGAAACCACCTTTACTTATTTAATTTCTTGTCAAAACAGCTATTAAGTACAAGTTATTCCTTTCTTAAGGAGATATTTCTAAGATGATTAGATGTAAGATAAACAACTTGCTTAAAAAAGAAAAAAGTCAAAGAAAAATAAGGGGAAAAAAAAAACAATTTTCTAAAACTGAAGCTGAAAAAAACAACCATGCAAGACCTGGCTGACCAAGAAAACTGTCCCCATCAGACAAACATTTCATATTTGAGAGAGAGAAGATCAACCAACCACTGTGAGAAGACAATTCAACACTCAAAAAGCTGTAAATGAGAAAAAGGAAACAGACAAAAAAGAAGCTGCTGGTGTTCTCAGAACAATGGACTGACTACACCATGTGCAATTGGGATTACTTGAATTATGAGAAGCAGAAAAACAACCAACTTCTGAGACTGAACTTTGGATGAGGAAGAATATCCCTGCAGATTTCAGATTTCTTTCAAAACTGGACAGTGAGTCTTATGAAAGGAATGGAAGCTGTAATAAAGGCAAAGAGTGGACACATTAAACACTGAAACAAAATGAAATTATATTCAGTTGTTGAAGCTTCTGTGTAATTTTAATGTTTAATATGTTTTCTGCTTTTCTCCTGACCCTGATCAATGACTTTCATTTAATGGCTGTTTTAAATGGAAATTAAATTAAGGGTGGTCTCTTGACCTTTGCGCAGTATTGTAGAAGATGATGCTGTAACCTGATATGGCATTATGGAAATTTGTTTATGGTTTCATGTTTGTGGAGAGAACCTAGCAGGTCAGCAGTTTAGCGCTGTTGTGTTGTAATGTTTTTGTCCTCAATGAAAGCAGTACACACATTTTATAACTGGAAGGCTGCTTTATTGTTAATAAAAAGGTTCGTGCTCAAATGAAGATAATTTTATATGTTCTTACTAAGAGTCCAAGTGGTTGTGCCACACACACACACACACCATAATATGTCCTCCTACAACACTGTGTCAAACAATAACAACAGTTTGAAAAGCACTTTTGAATTCTTTTTCTGCAAAATGGAAAAAGCATTTTTTATCATGCTCAAAATGGAACAGTCCAATAACTGAATACTGATACAAAAGTGAGTCTCCGATGGAAAGAACACAAAAATCAGAAGGCAAGCTATTTTTCTTTTCACAAGCCAAGTGGATGATACACAAAGCACAGAAAACAGAACATCTGAACAGTTTTGTAACACCAAATCTAGGAGAAGTGGGCCCCCCCCCCTTGGTTTGTATAGGTATTCCTCTGGCAGTAAGTCAGACACCTTGTACAGACTCAAAGTCCCTGATTTGCATTGTGCTCCATTTTTAATTTCCCCTCTCTTCCCCCTCCATAGGTTGTTCAATATGGCACCATCCTCCAAGACTGCAGGAAAAAAAGCGATTCAGAAAATGCATGGAGAAAAACGCAGAAAAAGGCACACACAATTTGTGAAGTAACATCAGACACAAACCTATGAACACGTACAAACTGAAAATGAGCAAACGGATGTATTGAGAGATTAAAAAAAACCCAGTGATCTGGTTTAAGAATTAATTACGGCACTGAAGTGTTTGGGGAGGCATTAGAGAAATGTGTTACATCAGCATCTCTGTGACTGTTTAATTTTTCAGACTCAGTGTGTGATCACGTTGTCCGTAAGTAAGATGGAGCATATGTGCACATGTGTGTGGTCGTGTGTGGGCCTTCAGAAAGTTAGTACTTGGGATTCACAAAGGTGTGCTGGTAGTATAATCGTCGTCATACAGTATCGAGTTCCAAGCAGCTCCAATAAAAATCGTGCGTGAACTTGTCCCCAAACACAAAAAGGTTTTGACATCCACTGGACGTGTTGCATATAAACAAAATGTGACAGTGCTCTTTTATATATATGCTCTCATACATATACATATATTACGTATTTTTATATATATATTTGTATAGTTTGTCTAATATAGTATCCATGGTACAATATATCATTCAGTTCCCCTCAACAATGTGAAGTGTTGAAAAATAACATAAGAAAGAAAAGAAAAAGAAAGGTAACAAATTTGACAAGGGCATCAGCTGGAAGCCATTCTTACATTGTTGTTATAATCCGATTAATAGTAGTACTTCATCTGTAAAATTCTGTATTTACAAAAACCACAACAATGCATGCTGTTTAAAAGAAAAGCGTATATTACAATACTTATCGTCTCTCTCAAGTTTATTCTTCACTTTTCAGCAATTGTGCCATGTACATCATAGCCCCCACTGAATGATACATTAATACGTCATACAGCGTGTAAATGTGATTTTACAACACAGTACAACTAGGATTAAGGGAGGGGGGTGTTAGGAGAAATTGCATGGTAGTCTATGCTTTTCACTGGGCACCGATTTGGTTGGAGTCCATAGTTCCCACTCTGATTTGAAGACAGGCAGTAGACAGACCCATAGACAGGTCTGAGAGGAAGGGGGAGTGGGGCTGTAAACACTGAATACACAAAAAACGCACATACACTCACACACGCACACACAGGCTCTGATGGTGTGTATTCTCTGACTCCAGTGGCGCGGAGTGCCCGGTTTATTACTGGGACTTGTCCTCATCACCTTCTGCGTCTACAGGGTGGTAAAGGCAGAGAAAAGCATGGCAGGTAAGAGCAACTGTAAAACGCCTTTTTTTTTCTCTGAAGACCTTAGTATGAAAGGTCTCCTGACTACTGATCTTAGCTGTGAAATTTGTTCTCTAATTCCCTGTAACTTCTTATGGACACACACTCGGACAGCCCACGCCATAATGACAGGAATCCTTTAACAGAAATGTAGAAAGAAAGAATACTGAGATAGAGAAGACATTTTGTTCTCTTCCAAGATTTTTGTTTCGTATCAAGAGCAAAAGTAGATGGCAGTTTGCTCAAGAGGTGCCAAACGTAGTGTCTTGATGTTGACATATAGGCATTTTTATCAAAACAAATGGCATTTAAAGAACAGGTGAACTGTCCGATTTCCACAGCTAGATCCTTTGCCGAGATGCACCGCTTAACATCTGACAACTAAAGCGTCCTTCACCTTTATTTAAAAGAATCTGCATATTTCTGCCTTCTCAGACAAGAGCTTCAGGCCTCAAGTACATAGCATGCACGCTGGATAAGGTCTATGCCCTAAACAGTACTCACTGTATCATTCTATCAACAGTCAGAAAGCTACCCCACAACACTAAAACTGGTGAAAAGCTGTAGACACATTCAAAACTGCTACCCAACTGCTCTCCTTTTTTACTTCTTCTCCAAGACAAAAACATTTCTAACAAAACAGACAACCCCTGATATGATCACCATGAGCATGTATTACCTTTAAAACAAATAACTGTCTCTACAAAAAATGTATGTTAAAGAGGTCACCTCTAACTGAGGTCTGGTCCCGACTCACAGACAAAGCATTGTAAGAGATTACAAATGGCATTGTGGCTTGCTGCAACCATTGAATATATGAAGTTTATCGTTAAAAAGACCCTTGATTGCACATAAAAGACCAGAAATTAAGGGCCAAATCATATTGCTGGTGGAAATAAAAACAAATCAGGGTTTGTCTGCCCAAGATTTGATTTGAATTCACTATTTCTAAATAGTACTCTTTCCTTAAGTTAAAGTCTAGGGCAGTGTGTATTGTAAAAAAATCTTTTGATATTCCACTGACTTCAACTATCTAGAGTTTTGCATGATGTGAGAGTTGGTTAGTTGCAAAGCAATGCTGATGAGGGGGTAAGTACGAATACACTATTTGTCAAACCCAATATTTGAATATTACCAAATTTTCCCTTTCCAGTGAAATTACTGAAATGTTTTACCAGTGGACAGCCTCAAACTTATGTTCAAGCCACATTCGTGGTCTGAGCAGAAGTGTCAAGTGGACTATGATTACACATGCATGATTCTGATCAAAACATGCCACCATGCAAGTCATTTCTATGCATTGAACGAGCACAATTAATTACTTATTTATCTGGAACCTGGTCTGAACAAGTCCCTTTCAGCCCAACTCGAAACCCTGATAAATGACCCCAACCCAATTGCAGTGTGAAAGCCCATGTAAAAAAATGTCTTTTTTATGTAAGTATAACAAAGAGATGATGAAAAGACTAGTGACATGGGCTGAACGTTTCTTTTTTTAACCTTCTTTTTTTGCTGATCAAATAATGTAAAGATGCAAGTATATTAATCATACAACTGAAAACCCTTGCATAATGTTCTGGGTTTTGTTTTTTCTTTCTTTTTTTTCTTTTCATTTTCTCTGCATCTCCACTCATTTCAGTCAACTCTGCTGAGAACTGTTCCTCTCCAACGGTCAAATGAGAACGTTTTGGAAACCTCCCTGTACCAAGTGGGAGGTGTCCACTGGATTTCGGCAGTGTAGTGTTTGTTAGGGGTAAATCCATAGTGGAGGAATGCTTAACTCCACACTTGGTGGTGTAAAAGAATCCATCTTCAAAACATCTACTCTGTATACCGCTTGGTCCTATGGCAGGTGGTCCCTATTGAAGATGTCTGCCATGGGCCTTTCATAGAGTTTTCAGTTATTTTTGCCTCAGCGGCTGCTGTTTGAGCAGTAAAATGTTGATCAGTGAGCACAGAAGCCACACAGCAAGTTCACTATGGTTTGGTTTGGTCGTATTCAAAGTGGTAAGAAAACCAAGCTGCTTTCTCTTCACTGGTGCATCTGTAATGTCTGTAAACAACTTTTTTTTCTGATTTTCTGGGTTTTCATTGAAAATGATTTTTTTGTACATTTGTTAGAACGGATACAGAGTTTCATCTCAATTATGTCTCATCTTGCTATATTACCACTGCTGTACTCCTAACACTTAGATTCCTTGACGTCTTTTTGGTTTTTACCCTTCTTGCCTTTGCTTTCGCTCTCGTCCAGTTTCTCTTTCTCCGGTTTGGTCACACTGTCATAGGAGGGCAGTGAGGCAGTAGAGGGCGTTCCCTCCTTCTTGTCCTGGTTGGTCCCTCCGTTCTCCAGCCTGCTGCTGCCAAGGAGCCGTTTGCAGATGAAGCCCCGGCGCACCAGGTGAGCACGGTAAGCCCGCTGGATGACCTGAGCAGACACGTGCTCCTGCTTGCGACGCAGAGTCGTGGTGATGGGCTCGAAGGACACCTTGGAAGGATTGGAGGCGATAAAGCGCTCCTCCATCTGCTGGCGCATCATGTCCAGGTCGCCGCTGTCACCCAGAACGCGCTTGGTAAAGGCAAACAGGATGTCCAGGCAGTGGATGCGGTCTCCGCTCACCATGGGCAGGTCCATGGCGATCAGTTCTATAGTGTTGGGTTTCGGCACCCTCAGTGGGTGCTCCAGAGTGTCGGCGAAATCACTCAGCTTGGCAAATGCAATGAACTGTGAGGCCGTAGGGTCAAATTTCTCCCAGATCTCATAGAAAGACTCAAAGTCGTCCTCACATAGCGGGTCTGCGCTCTCTTCTGTCGCCACACTGAAGTTCTCCAGGATGATAGCAATGTACATGTTTACCACGATCAGGAAAGAGACGATGATGTACATGACAAAGAAGAAGATTCCCACGGAAGGGTTGCCACAGTTGCCCTTTACTGTGGTGCCTGGGTTCTCTTTATCAGGGTCACAGTCTGGAGGGTAGTTGAGAATGGGAGCCAACAGGCCATCCCACCCTGCAGAAGTGGTGATCATGAACAGGCAGATCATGCTATTCCCAAAGGTTTCGAAGTTGTACATGTCATCGATACCGGCTTCACGTTTGACATAGGCAAAGTTTGACATTCCAAAGATGGAGAAGATGAACATAACTAGGAAAAGCAGCAGGCCTATGTTGAACAGAGCTGGCAGTGACATCATCAGGGCAAACAGCAATGTCCGGATGCCCTTGGCCCCTTTGATCAGACGCAGGATACGGCCGATTCGAGCCAGACGAATGACCCTGAACAACGTTGGTGACACAAAGTACTTCTCAATCAAATCTGCCAGGAACATACCTATTGCATGGCAAATAAGACAAACACAGAAGAAAAACAGTTAGCAGAGGGAGCAGAATCTGCATTGTCGTGTCTTTTTCACAGCTGTCATGTGCAACAAGAATATGCAGTAATATGGCACAATGTTGTATTTCAGGAAGACATCCCTATACATTTCAGTAAGATAAATCCCATGTATTTAAGCTAAAATTTTCCCCTCTTTACAAAATGATGGATGTTTACTTACCTACGATAGATAAAATGACCACGACGCAATCAAAGATATTCCAGCCATTGGTGAAGTAGTAATGGCGCAGGGCAAAGAGCTTGAGGACAAACTCAGAGGTGAAGATTACGATGAAGATGAAGTTGACCCAGTACAAGATGTTCTCTGTTTCATCAGACTGATCATCTGTTTCCACCATCATAGTGACCATGTTCAGACAGATGAGGATCATGATGGAGATGTCAAAGACCTGCTGCGTCACAAAGTCAAACACCATACCCTGGACCTTGTTCTAAAAAGGAAACATTTAACATAGAACTGAGATTAGTTATCTCTTATACGTTCATTTGTTTATGTGTGTAGGTGACTGAGAGGAAGGCTTAGGGTACCTGGGGTCTAGGAATGGGTTTCTGTGGTTTCTTTGAACCTAGTTTCTTCATTGCGTTGTAGTACTTCTTTTGTTCTTCTGTCATGAAGATATCCTGACCTCCAAAGTATAGATACACACAATATTTCATTACAATCCATTCAGTGCATAAGCAGCAGTATAACTGTTTCGAAATTAAATAAGCGAAGAGACTTATCTTTTTCTTCTGCTGGTTGAAATTGTCGATGATCACACCAATGAACAGGTTAAGAGTAAAAAAGGAGCCAAAAATAATGAAGATGACAAAGTAAATGTACATGTAGATGTTGTCCTCATACATGGGCTGGTCCTCCACCTAAGAAGACAATAAAAGACTGTTAACAACTGTCAGTGCTGTAGAACTGATGTGTGAATTGTTTTCTCAGTTGTGAAATGCCTACCCCTCGTGAGTCAACAGCTGCATACATAATGTCCATCCAACCTTTGAAAGTAGCCTTTGAGAAAAATTATACATCCATTAATAAAAGATTAGAAATGAACTAAAACATAAGCAACCGTTCAAAAAAGTCCAAATGGCACACTGCTCAAATACATAAGCTGAACTATGGATTAGTAAAGAGGTTTATATTCTTAATATAAAATATATTCTTCCTTCCACTGCATTCTGTAATGGAAGCATTAAATTCAATTTGTAACAAAAAAACTACAATGCCGGAAATGCTGATTATGGTATGCAAGCATAAGGGTCATGGAAGGTAAGTCTTACCACTTGAAGCAGAGCCAGGTAGCCAGCACCCACATTGTCAAAATTGATCTTGACGTTCTTCCAGCGTACTTCAGTGAAATTCTGATAGATGAGCTCAAAGCATTGGGTTTTGTTGTCAACCTCCTCTGGATTGAAGTACTCCTCTGCAGTTTCATTGTAACAGTAATAATACTTGCCCGCGAACAGATTGACTCCCATGATACTGAAAATCAGCCAAAAGATGAGGCAAACCAGCAACACATTCATAATGGAAGGGATGGCACCCACCAAGGCGTTGACTACCACCTAGAGCAAAGTGGAAGAGATAAGGCAATGCAATGTGAGAGACTAGAAATATGCAGATACACACACATATACACACACAAGTACTAACACCTACGTACAAACACATACACAGCAGCTTCATATTTGTATGGCGCTCTACAATTATTTTTAAACACTTTAATTCTGCATTTGAAAATACTTGTTATTCACTGTTTATTTTTTTTCTACTTTAATATATTTATTGATGTTTTCTTAAAAATGTATTAATTCAGTTCTGTTTAACAGTCAGTGACTACCCTTCATTTAATCTCCAGTCAAAATGGATATTCATTTTTCAGCATCAGAAAAAAAAACAGAAAATTACACAAAAGCCTGAAACGGAATATCATTTCATATGTTTAAGTATTTAGTGTGTCCACACATTTCCACTATTGCAGCTTCCATTCTTTTCAGGAGGCTTGCTTTCAGTTTTTCAAAGAAATCTGTGGGGTATTTTCCACACCTCGTAAGTTCCGTCTTAGAAGTTGGTTGTATTTTCTGCTTCTCCCAAAGATATTCAGTGATGAAACTCTGGGGTGGCCAGTCCATTGCTCTGAGAACACCAGCAGCTTCTGTGATTAATTGGCATGTTCTGCATTCTGCTTTCTGACAGTTATACATCCTTTCACACACACAATGTTGAGTTGTCTTCTAACAATGGAAGGATGGACAAAAACACTTGTGGATTCTTTCGGATCTGAGGCAAGAGTGGAGTTGATATTCCCTCCTTTCTCAAAGATGAAAAAAGTACTGTTTAGCTGATGGGACAGTTCTGGTGGCCTGCCAGGTCTTGCAGAGATGTAAGGAGTCCCTTTTACTCTGAATTATCTTATATTTAATCTCATCAGAAATTTCTTTTGAAAAATAAAAAAACCTGAAGGGCTGTTTTGACTGGAAATTAAATAAATGAAGGTTGGTCTCTGATTTTTACACATGACTATAGTATATTTTTTACTTTTAATATATTTGGAGGTTTTCACAAAAACAGGTTCAGCAAACAGATCTGTGGTAGTAAATGTATCATAAAACTGGGCTCAGGATTAATGTCCTAAAAATATGATTGTATACACGATCAGTATCATAAATGGCCGCCATACAGATAGGTAGTGCAGACTCAGTACAAAACCTACAACCCCATAACAACCTCTCCCTCCACCTGTATGGCTACCAGCACCCCCTCCTCCCTTGCTACCCTAATGTCTCTCTAAAACCCCCTCCTGCCCCCAGCTTCAACATCACACTGACAAGCAAGAGCAGGTCTACATACACTCAAACCCCCACTCCCCGTCTCCCTCACCGTCCCCCCATAGCCCTGTTCAAGATCCCATCCACCAGTGAGTAGCGAGGAGAGGAGCGCCATTGGACGCTCGTTAACCGTGTTAGGCAGGCCGAGCCGCAGCTCTCGGGCAGGCAGCTGAGCATGCATGTTTCTCACAGACTCCACAGTGGAGCCATATTCCCTCCTTGCACACAAATAGATACACTGGAATGGCAGGATTCTCCTGGCAGATACTGGGTGTTACCTGTATTAAAAGTAAACCCAATAACCTTAAAGCCACTTGATGTCAAAGATCCACAGACACTTAGAAGGAAATTCATTTGACCATTATAGAAAGAACTTATACAGAGGATATATTATGGGAAATTCTCTTGGAAGCATTATTTCTGGTTGAAAAAAAAAAATCAGGTAGGGACAAAATTAGCAAAACCAAAATTGGCAAAATTACTGAAAGCGTGCTAGGGCCTTCATATTGTATTCTACATAATCCTCATACATCATAATAAAAATAGAAAAGCTCTAAATGAACCAAATTCTCTATCATAGGTGTAATTATTACAATATGGGATCAAAGAGACACCCACAAAAAAGGTATTTGTCAGGAGAATCACTGTTGGCTACTGATAGATCACACATTTAAATGTCACAGAGACATCGCAGTTATTCATGAGAATCAACACACGGCTATAAAAGTGAGGGAAAATGGCTTTCAAAAGTGCATAATGTGCATTGGCAATTGAACAGGACATGCGTGTTACATGGCATCTTTGTGCAAACTCAAGAACCGTTAAAATCAATAAATAAATGGATCAGGAGGGGCACCAGCACAGAGAGATTTACATATGTTTGCCAAAGATAAGATTATTTGATGCATCGTCTGAGTAATCAAAAAAGCAGGGACAGCTCTTTTAGGACAATTTCAGAACAGCCTAAAATGACTGTACTAACTTCCACGTTAATCATAAGAAAAGTAAAAAAAATACAGATCCTTCTACTAACAATCATTTATTCAAATTTTGTTGAGAATACTGATGCCAGTATTTCACTAAATTTGTCACCTCTCTGCGCTGCTGTCTCCTTATCAAGTCATTTATTCATTTTTAACTCTTATTTTTTGTTCAGTTCAAACAAAATGGCATTTCAGTTGATGAACATAGACAATGACTAATATAAATCAAATATAGTATATGTAATTCATTTACGTGTTCTCTTTCTATCAATATGTAATGTTACTTTGAGCTGTACATGTAATTTAATTGAATTACTAACAGGGAAAACTCAGTTTAACAGAGCTTTAGATACATAACATTCCACATTTCACCCAAAAATGACATTCTTAGAAGATCTAAACTGAACAAATAAAATAAATAAATAAAAGAAAATAAATCAGGTAAAGAAATAAAATGATTAAGTGGGACTTCAGTAACGTATATAGTTTGGTAAGTGTGGCAAATTAATTCTGGAAAAATAATTTCTTCGTAAACAAAAAGCCACAGTAGAGGCCTGCAATTAATGCAGCAAAAAATAAATACAGTAAATAGTAAACACATCAGTAATTATCTTGTCTGTCATTTTTGGGTCATTTGATCAATCTGTAGAGGACACAAGTTTTGCCCAGTGAAATGGGCAAATTTTGAGCCACAGCGATGATAATCGGGTTTAAGTTATATGCATCTCTCTGCTCTAGTGGGTCCAGTCTCCCAGTTCCACCACTTCTAACAGGAAACACCGTGCTATGTCCTAATGCCATGCTGTGAATAAAACCACTTACTGCCAGCAGGCTGCCTGGTCAATTTCCTAAGCTTCTGTTTTGACTCATGAAAATCACAAATTTTCATGAAAACATCCTCAAAGCCATAACTTCGTTGTGGTTATGTATCTCGAGATATCTATCATACGTATAGGACCTAGAGCAGAGATACTCAATTCCCGGTCCTCTACATATTACACAGTTTCCACCGTTCTGTTACAGGTGTCGCAGAGGCCGGTCAAATTGGTCTGTTAAGCCTGAGGCTTCGACTCATTTTGGAATAAAAATGCACAGAAGCTTAGCAAATATCTTTCTCTCACACCCACACTGCTGTGTGTGTGAGGTTCTCTTTATTTTCAGTCCTTTGAGCAGATCCTGGACAAGCAAAAGAGAGGTGAGGCGTGGCTCCAGCAGGTTTACCCCGCAGCGCTGCGCTGGCCTGGGCAGCACAGGGCCGAGCAGGCTGAAGTGGACAGGGTGAGATGGACGGGTCAGGAGGAGGGAGGGAGGGAAGGGGGAGAAAAGGTGCTGCACAGTGCTGCAGGTGGGGGAAGGGGGAAGGAAGGAGGTGAGGGGTAGAAAGGCAAGAGAAGCTCAAGGCAACCAGTCCACGGGTAAGAGAGGAGGGACTGAAAGTGACAACAACCAGGCACAACCGCTCACAACCACCAAGCAGGGATGAGTGCTGAAAAGGCTCAGCTTAAAACCTACATTAACTGCCTCAGATTTACGCAAAAATGGCTGAACAAACTAGTCGCAAGGAGTAATTGAAGGCCATGCTGATTCCTTCCACAATCCACTATATATGAATACAGTACTGTGCAAATGCCTTGGGCAACTTGAAAACATTATATTTAAAGCTATTTATCTGGGTAGTAAGCACTTATTTGCTTGGATAAAACAATAGAAAAAATAAATACACATTAATAAAAACAAATAAACATTAATACAACGATCTGTATTTTTTTGTCTGTACGTGTGTTAGGGCCCTGATACATGACGCCAATTGTCAGCCATCGGATGCCATCAGGCTGTCGGTAAGCACTGGTGGCTGACTGTTTCCTGTAGTTTGTGCAGTGTGTGCTGCACTACTGGCTCTAGTCGTTTCTTGTCAGCGCTGTTTTGGCTGATTAAGCATACTAAATCAGCGTCGGCAGTCATAGCGCACGGGTAGAGAAATGGAAAAAGAGCAAAGCGAGCAAATGGCAGTCTCAAGAGGACACATACAGAGACCAGCCTAATTGTTCTATCACTACCATACTGGCATTTTAAAACTGCACTATGTAGGTTTTGAGAATTTGGAGACCTCTCTGGTGGAAATATGTAATTACACACAATGTAAGGAAGAACATTTTATAAAGTTGTCTGTGCTTTGAACCCCCAAGAGAAAATTAATCGATTTTGTGAATGTGTTGAATAAGTATTCAAAGAGAACTTGGTGAAGACGTTATCTTCTGAGAATGCGAGTGACTCATCTGCTGTAGTCTCTGTGATGTGTTCAAGTTCACATTTTTACAGGAGACGAGAGGCAATTGTGTGCTAAAGGAAGATCATCAGTTGGCCTTAGTTGGTGCTACTTCCACCTCATCAGTTTAGTGTCTGAGCCCTTAGCTGAACTATTTCAAACTTCTAACTACTTCACAAGATTTTAAACAAGTTTTGACGTCTTTTACTAATTTACTATATTCATGTTTATCTGCATCGATTCTAATGGTATTAGTGATTTTATGAGGAAAAACACACTTTCTGCCCGAATAAAGTTTTAAATCATTTGCTTGGCCGGCCTAAGACTTGTGCACAGTACTGTAAATTACAGCTGTAAGCACTGTGCAGAGAATGTGCATTATGGTGAGACGTGAGTGATTACTTCACAGTACAACTGTGTGGAACAGGTCTTCCACTCTGAGGTGGCTCTAAGTGATACTGCATGGGGCAGGTGGAGTGGTCAGTTCAGTGGTCTGGTGGATCTGTGCTGCTGGTTGTTCTCTGACAGATGCAAAAGGCGGTGGGGTCAGTGGGATAGGGTAGAGATGGAGGGAAGGGGGCTCTCCATTAAAAGCAGAGGTTGAGAACCAGGCCAAATGAGCAGCCAATTGCAGATCAAACACTCCGTGAAATGGCAAGGTTTATCTCCATTTTTGAAAAATACTTTTGCATGGTACTTTTTTAAGGGGCCAAATGCTACAAAAGGCTGATTTTGTAATCATGTTATAATTTGTGATGAGGCAGCTTTGAAAAATATGCCTTTTTGGTATAATAATGTTAATAATCTTTGTCATCTTCTTCTGTTTTGAAGAATTAACTATGAATCTGTTGAACACAGGAGGATTCCACTAAAATCAGGGAATACTTGTGTTCTAAAGATTTTCTTATTTTTGTCCAAATAACTGCAGCTGCATCATGACTCAAACATTGGCATACGTGGTATTGTTAAGCATGAAAAGGGTGATATCTTTTCATTGGTTGCTGTTTTTAAAAATCCCCCTGGTATGACTTTGGCGTTGTTGTTGTTTTCTTTTGCTCTTTTTGATCAGTTCTAGCATGCTGTAACTGTTGAATAGGCATGCAGAAGGATCAGCTCTATAGCTTTTCTTACCCTCATCCCTTCAAAACGTGACAATGCTCTGAGTGGTCTCAGGGCCCTGAGTGTCCTGAGTGATTTAATGGGCCCTAGATCGGAGAAGCCCAGCGCATTAGCTATAAGGCTGACTATAGACACCTACACAGAAACAGAGAAGCAAAAAAGGATCCAGACTGTTAGACGGATAAAGCTCTCTAGGAAAGAGATGGTCCTAGAGCTGATCGACTGTTGCTTTACACACATACAGAAGTACTTGGGTAGGTATATACATATATAATACTGCTTTTATACATGTATATATCCTCAAGAGAGAGAGTTATGTTAAGTACGGGTTATAGCCATATAGGGGTTTTGAGGCAGCAGAAAGGCCCCTGTTTTTTTTTGTTTTTTTTTGTTTATTTCTGTTAGTTTTGGGATGTCGGTGAGTCTTGTAAGCTTCTTTGTACCTGTAAAAAAATTTGTAGTTGAAAGAGAGAGACAGAGAGGCATAAGACTCAAAGACAAGGATAAAGGAGGCAGTGAAGCATAACACCAGGCTCATTTAGTACTGAAAAATTCAGGGACTTGGGGAGGTGGGGGCTGGCAAGGAAGGGTTAAAGGAGGCAGAGGAGATATCCCTGCAGACGTTCAAAAATCCCAACAGACTACAAGAATCTTACCCTTGCCCTTCTAACATTGTCTCTCCTTGTCGCTCTCGGCTGAGGCATAAAATCCCATACAATTTAAGACAGACATACTAACGGAACCTAAGAGAAAGAATACAGGTAAACATGTACATGTATGCCAAGTTTGCAGTTACACTGATTTCACACATTGAGTTTACAGAGACTCATAAGACCACAGTGACACAGTGTAACATGAAGGAAAGGGGGAGATTAGGGGAGATCACCTAACTGGACGGCACTGTAAGGACAAGTTCATACTACAGAAACTGAAGCCCTACAAGTCTCAAAGTGCCATCCAGAACATTGACAAAAGGGGTGTACACTCTTAGCTCCCTAGGGTCATGGTAAAAAAAGTAATAGGTGCACAAAGATCTATTTAAAAAATCATCTGGCTCTAGAAGCTTCACTGTCTGGTGTATGCGCTCTATAGAAGAAAAAGGTGAATATTTGAGTTTTATGGTTAATGTCCAAGAAAATAAATAAAAATCAGTAAAGAGTTCAGAGAAATACCAATATGGATAGGCACTGACCATCAAATCAGGGCTTGAGTTCCTGTATAAAGGAGAACAAACATCTGAGCATCTCCAATCAGCCACTGACAAAGACTTGGTAAAAACACAGCAAAAGTACACAACACCCAAAGCTGACCAACTTACAGAGGGGATTCTAACAAAGGTGAAAGCTTTATCCTGCATTTGTAGACCTCTACAGATCATATGCACTATTCTAGCTATATATATATATATATATATATATATATATATATATATGTATATATATCAAAATATTAGTCTTTATGACAGTGGTTCCCAGACCCAGTCCTATTTAATGCATTTTTTGTGTTTTCCCTACTCCAACATACCGGATTCAACTCATTAGCTAATTATCTATTTGTTAATTAATACACAAGATGTTGGGTGAGGTACAACAGGAAAAATGCAAAAAAGGTAAATTGCATGAAATCTTTCAGACTGGGGCTGAAAACAACTGCTGATGTTACCAACAACATAAAGACATTAAAATGGTTACACAACAATTTTCTCCTAAATGTCTAAAATCCTCTGTAGCAGCAGCTGCACAACTTTTCTACCTTAGAACCTTTAGCTCATAAAGCTTTCACCTTCATCTAAAGGTTGGATCTTTGCAGGTAATTGTCACCTTTAGCCTCAGTCTGAGCCCGTGGAGGGCCCCTCTACGGAGGGCCCGGGCCCCTGAGCCAGTCGGGATGGCCCCACAGCTCTAGTTTTCCTCATGTGCCAACGCTCTCACTCTGCAAGGCAAGGTCAATGAGATGGGTGGCTGTGGCCGAATGAAGACAGGGAACTAAAACAAAAAGGAACATAAAAAGAAGCAAACGAAATTCAAGTGTAATCCAAACATAAGCCAAATGACTGATGAACCATACTCACACCAATCACACTCATTCGTATGTTAAGTAGCTTTTGACTATCAGTTGTCTGACCTGTTCAGACTGCTATGCAACTTTGGATATGTTCGATTTCTGTAATCACAGCAAGTGCCATGATGACTTTTCTTGATCAGTAACTCAATGATACTGTGTAAATTGATAGAATCACCAAATGAAAACTATTAATTTTATTTAGGATATACAAAACAGTTTTAACACATTCCCTCACCACTCATAAACTGAAAAATAGAAATATGAGCTTAAAAAGACAATGGCATGAGCAGAAAGGTAGTAAACTGAATGAGGGATGAAATACATATAAATACAGATAGGGAAAGGAAGACTGTTACACAGAAAAGCATGCTGGACATGATGGTGGTCTCTTTGTTGAAGCCCCTCTGAGCAGCACAGTGTCAAAAGCACAGCACAGGACAGCAGAGGAACAGGGCACAGACAGGACACGAAGCAGAACCACGGCAGAGCGATGGCTGATGTCGAGGCCACACTCACCGTTTGCCGCATGTCCCCAACATCTTTACATCTCAGCACTCTACCTCATATATTCCCAAAACACAAGTAGGTGTGGGTGGGACAGGGTGGATAGCACTCTTTATCCAGCTTGGGAAATGTAGTTCCTCCCAACTACCCCAAGTTGCAGGAGAGTATACACAGGACTACAAGTCCCATCAGCTAAAATAGTTGATGACACTGCAGGGGTAGTATGGAACACTAAGAAATGTTTTTTTCTTTTTTTTAACTTCATGTCTTTTACCGCCCATTCCAATTTTGTTTTTAACAAGCCCTTGTCAACTTCACCTTGCTGTTTCCCCTTAAGGGATTTTCCGACCTGGATGTAGGTCGCAAACTACTCCTTCTGTTATACATGACTGCTGGTACAACATTATTATTCTGCTACCTTGCTAGTTAGCAAGCAAAAGGCTACATGGCTTACAACACCAAAAAGGAAAAGGCAAAGCAATTATTCTGAAAATGTATTCACATTCAGAAATCTTTAAAAAACTTTCTGCGTTACAAAGTTTGTAGGACTAGCCAATTAGCTAGCTAAGGGCGTTTCAATTTAAAATTCCACTTCTCGCCTCCACTTGTGCTGTGAGTAGCCACTTGTGTAATACAGGTGTGATGCACTTCTGAGTAGTAAGTCTAAGTTGGCAAGGGCATGTTAGAAAAATGTACTGAAACAGGATCCTAGCATGAATTATGGTGTCATTTACACTACATAGATAAGTTACACTACTGCCTAACAGTAAGAATCAATTAAACTATGTACCTACAATTACAACCGTGTTTCCAAAAAAGGTGGGCGCTATGCAAAATGTAAATAAAACCAAATGCAATGATATACAAATCATTTACATGCTGTGTTTATTGAAAATAGTACGAAGACAACAAATGTTGAAACTGAAAAATGTTATTGTGTTTTGAAAAACATATGCCCAAATATATGGCTACAACAAAAAAGTTGAGATAGGGGGATGTTTACCACTGTGTTTTATCACCTCTTCTTTTAACAACACTCTGTAAGCGTTTGGGAACTAAGGAAAAACATTTTCCAATTCTTACATGATATAGGATTTCACCCTCTGAACAATTCAGGATCTTCTTTGTCATATTTTTCATTTCATAATGAGGCAAATGTTTTTAACAGGTGAAAGGTCTGGACTGCAGGAGGGACTCTTTTACTATAGAGCCATGGCGATGTAATATGTGCAGAATGTGATTTGACATCGTCTTGCTGAAATAAGCAAGGCCTTCACTGAAAAAGACGGCGTCTGGACAAAACCTGCTTCACCAAAACCTGTATATATCATTCAGCATTAATGGTGTCTTCATGGATGTGCAAGTCACCCGTGTGGTAGTCAGAAGGATGTAAAACCCATGATTTCCAAAAAGAATTTAAAATGTTGATTCGTCGGACCACAGGACACTTTTCCATTTTGCCTCAGTTCATCTTAAATGAACTGGCCCAGAGAAGGTGGTGGTGTTTCTGGATCCTGTTTCTTCTTTGCATGGTAGAATTTTAACTTGCATTTGTGGATGTAGTGATGAACTGTGTCCACAGACAGTGGTTTTCAGAAGTCTTCCTGAGCCCATTCAGTGATTTCCAGTACAGAATTTTGTCTGTGTTTAATGCAGTGCCACCAGAGGGCCTGAAGATCACAGCAAGCCAATATTGGTTTCTGGCCTTGTCTCTTGCGTACAGAGATTTCTCCAGATTCTCTGAATCTTTTAAGGATATTATGTACTGTAGATGATGACATCCCCAAGGCTATTTTACGCTGGGACATGTTATTCTTGATTTGTTACACTATTTGCCTGCACAGTCTTTCACCAAGTGATGAACCCCTCCCCATCTTTACTTCTGAAAGACTCAACTTCTCTGGGATGCTTTTTAATATACAGTCATGTTACTGACAAGCTGCCAATTAATCTAATTATTTGTGTTTTTTAGCATTATACAGCTTTACTAGTCTTTTGTTGCATCTGTCCCAACTTTTTTGAAATGTGTTGCTTGTTTTAAATTCAAAATGGGCATATATTTTTCAAAAAACAATTTCTCAGTTTCAATGTTTCATATGTCATCTTGGTGGTCAATCCAATATCTGTCACACCAACTCTCCAACCTGTCCTGCACAGTCTAAGTCTGGAACAGAGTGTTGGGACTGATGGGCTCTGCTGAAAGGCAGTTAGATCAGGAACAAGGTCAGAGCACACAATCACACAAAACCCACACCCGCTCACACACACACACACACACACACAGAAAATGCATATTTTAATTGTAATCATAAAACATCTAAACATCATGAGAGAAGCAGACAGGCACCATGACACACCCATACAAGATTGTCCCAGGTCCCTTACTGTGAAGTCGACCTCTAAGTGCTTTAAATATAGCAATTTAGTGCATTTACATCTAGACTACTACCAAAACCCACACCCTCTGTAGGTACAGCAGGTCGTCACATCAAACAAAGTTTTTTGAAAACTTAAAAAATGATCTAAGAGAGGTCTCAAAAAAGGATGAATTTTAAATACATAAAATACACTCTTTTAAGTGCATCTTAGTCAATTGACAAACCACAACAACTACTACTACTACTAATAGTAAAAATAAGTAAAATAGTATTTATTATTATTACTAGTATTAGCAGTAGTAACGGTTTATTTATTATAAACATTTTAGTATTTAAACCAAAAAACTTAAATTGTACTCTTATTGAGTCCTTATTGGACAACATTATTGTTCCTGCTGAACACAAGTAAAGTTATTGCGAGTGAGGTATTGGCAAAAAAGTAGTTAAATTTGTGTTTGTAGAGGATTCATTTGACAATTCCATTCATTCTTAATTCTGACATGCTGTATCTACCACATCATGAATGAATAGGAAAAGGCAGATTTAATCTAAATTAGTGTAACAGCTAAGCTACTTATAGCTAAATTTAGCTATTTATAGCTAAATAACAATATGTGCAGCATTCAAAAATGAAAATGTGTTGTTAATTGTAAAAATGTGATGGGCTGTACAAAGCTGTCACCGGTAGTCTGAGACCTCTGATCTAAGGGAATTATACACACATTTCTGTATACACTTTAAGAGCCCTGCTCTTGTGAATTGACACAGAAATGCATAACACTTGGAGGGTCTCTCACAATGAGGGCTAAGAATGAGGTCAGTCCGGAGACACATCTTCATTATACACTGCATTAGACGATACACAGACACAAATACACATACAGGTTTCAGAACAAGAATCTTGTAGGGCTGAGTGCTTGAATATTATATCAATAATCCTTGTTATTGATGACTGACTATGGCTTGTGTTGTTTTTTGATGCTAACACAAACCCTTGCAATTTATTTATTTTTATTTATTTGTTTTTAAACATGTAAATCACAAAAAAGAAGGGAAATATACAAGAGTATACAATTCTTTGCTAGTAACATAGGATCTGGAAGTACTTTAGCAGAGAATTGTTTTAAATATTCAAGCATCTCAGTAGCACAGAGAAGTAAAACATTTTCATGGTTATGCATGGGTGAGAAGCCTGTGAGTCTATAGATAAAACACAGGTTTCCTGCTCAGTGCAATGACTCCTGACAGAATTACTGATTAGCTCTCATTACATGTCACCTCTGCATACCATTACACTCTATCACATACTATATTCAGTTTCTCCTTTCATATGATTTTGCCCAACACAGTCACACCTTGCTGAAAAATCCTGAGAGCCACCGTGTGCTTGACTTCACATAAGGCTCACTACATCTGCATGGCAACAGCAGACACAGAGCAGATATTTGTGATAAAGTTTCTCATCTCCCCTGCTACACCACTTTCCACTTAAACTGACAGCTCAAAGACACCACAGCAATATTTTCAGCTATTTTAAGCCCTTTCTAAAGTCTCCCTGAATGTGACAGGCTCCAACATTGGCATTTCTATCAACATGCACTGTTGATACTTTCATTGATGTCTGAGCTGCTGAAAATGTATCATTATCAGATATTAGAAGGCTAGAAATCTTCCAAAGCCCAGTCCAAACGACTGGAACAACATGCTCAAGGATTTGGTGCTGGTAAAAGCACATAAACATATTACTAGTACGTCATTAAATATATGTTCACAAAACCAAATAACATGATCTACATAAAAACATATACTTAATCTTACTATAGACTCCACAGCCATAAATTATGCCCTGCTTACATCATCTTATATATGTCGGTAGGTCAAAGTCTGATCAACAAGGTGTGTATGTGTAAAGCAATCATACAATATCACTGCCAATCAACAACCATTAAATGACATGGAGGCAGACTTACATCCACAATGAAGAAGTCCAGCCAGCACCAGGCATTGGTGAAGTACTTCACAAAGCCATAAGCCACCCATTTAAGCAGCATCTCCAGGATAAAGATATAGGTGAACACCCTGTCAGCGTACTCCAGGATGATCCGAATAGTCTTCCTCTGCTCAATGTACACATCTTCAAAGGCCTGCATGGAGAGTGCACAATAGCACTTAGGCACTGGCTGTGAGTGAACTCTGAAAAAACATGATCTAATCTGATACATTAGGGCCCACGCTCGCTGGAAAAAATATGGGTGGGGGTTACTGGGGGTTATCAGTAAAGCAGGGGAACAAAATGGGAAAAAGCATGCGTAGCACTGTGCAGAAGTCAGAGAACATATTTTGTTTATTTTTTTTCGGATCTGCATCGTGTGAAAAAACAGGAGTTTCCAAAACTGGAGTTCAAAAAATATTAAACGATATAGAAAAAATGGAACTCTTAATATCTGTGCAAAACCTAGCAGACTAGCAAAACTGATCAGCACTTAAATCAGCTTTGAGAGAGAGGAGAAAATCAAGCTCCACTCTTGATTCAGATCTCAAACAATACACAAGCGTTTCTGTCCATCCTTCCATTGTGAGAAGACAACTTCACACTATGGGTCTGAAAGGAAGTGGAGCTGCTATTTGGTGTTGTTGTGTTTGCACTACAACACCAAAACTTGACATCTGAGATATGGAGTAAGTGTTTATGGGCTGATGAGTCTAAATTTGTAATTGGGATTACTTGGATTGCGAAAAAGCAGAAAATGCAACCAACTTCTAAGACCAAACTTTGGAAGTGTGGAAAAATATCTCTGCAGATTTCTTTAAAAAAACACAGAAGTCTCCCAAAAACAATGGAAGCTGTAGTAAAGGCAAAGCGTGAATATTCTAAATACTGATTAATTTGATGTTATGTTTAGTTGTAGATGTTTCTGTTTTATGTTAAATATGTTTTCTGTTTTTTCCTGATGCTGAAAAATTAATAACTTGTAATGGCCATTTTGACTGGAAATTACATATATGAAGGTGATTGCTGACTTTTGCACAGTAGTCTATATAATTAAAAATCAATACAGTTTTGTGGGTATAAAACAATAAGCAGCATCAGCCAGTAAGGCACGGTTCCTGAATTCCATTATGTTCCTATTTTGGCTACATTAGTGGTGCAAAGGGGAAGTGCCTTGCCAGCAACAGAAATAGATCCCTGATTTGATAAATGGTACAGTCCATTAATCGCATAACACAGCAGCACGTTTCAGGCTCCAGATCACTTCAGATTGAGTGCGCTTCGCATCACAGAATGGCCTGTGCATTTTTACCCTTTCACTTAATGACAGAATTATGGTTCACACTATAACATTTCAAACTGCAAAAGCTGACAAATGAATAAAGAAATTTGAGCCAGCACAGTTTTGTTTGTAGAGGTGCACATGCTTGTGTGTGTAAACTCACCAAGGCTCCACTACTAAGCAGAATCATGAAGATGATGAGGGTTTCAAACCAGTTGTGTTCCACAATGAGATAGCAGGTCTTCCGGAGATACCACCAGTATTTTCCCCAGCCTTCCGTGATGGACACATCGCAGCACTTGTAGCGTGCAACACAAGCTGCCAAACAGAAAGATTTGCTTAGCCACTCAGTCACCAGCACATTTAGCTGCTACGTGATGCATTTTAGGGAACCATTAAAAAATATTACAAATAGTGAAAAAACATGAATAAATTCAGCACCATCAACCATAAATTCAGTGCAAAAAGTTTTTTGTTCATGTAGCTTCTCTAAGAGCTAAATACATGCATGACAAGGATTACAATGATTCAACTGTGTGAATTTATGTATGAATATGTTAACTAGTTAAGTGCTACCTTCAGTCCAGCAGGGCTCTGGGTCCAAATACTCTTCCACTGCTTCCACTACCACAGCTTCCTCTATCTCTGGTTTAATATCTATAGTGCTGCCTTCTGACGAACTGCTGTCATCCAGCTAACAGAGGAAAACAAGGTTAGGTCATGCTATATTAATCATATGAACTTAAAGGAAAAGCACAAAACTATCAGGTGTGATTGATAAAACACCAAGTACTGTATTGTAACAGTGACATAATATAAATCAATCTGCCTTGTAACTAATATCCAGTAGAAGGACAATGATAAACATTACCTATCAGCTATGCCAAGCTTTTACTTTTGAGGTCAAATCAATAGACAGAAGTATTTTGTTTCAGCCAGTAGCATCTGCATCACAGTGGCATCAGCTTCCTGCTCACCTGGCTTATATGGGTGTGACTTAATGCAAACTTTATGTCTACGTACATTTAGTTAATTTTAGTTATTTACAAATGATAGTACATAATTCATTTTTTTATATACCTTAGTTTTAGTAGCCATAGCACATTGTTCAAACCAGTAATACAGAGGTTAAGAAATTACTCATCTGCTATATTTTTATATATGGGCCCAGTGATTCTTTTCTCATCACAGCAAGAAAACGCCATCTTATACGATTACAAAGAGTTTTAATTGAATTTCTAATCATTTAAGTTTTTGAAATAACTTGTGTTTGTATTTCATTTTATAAAAAATGTTTTTTCTTTAATAGTTTTAGTTTCCATTTTCATTTTAATTTATTATGATAAACCTGCTGCTACATCCACATGACTGCCCCTCAACACACAAACACAGGTCTAATTTTACTCACAGTACAGTTTACCCTAACACTTACCCCATCTTTGCTGCCCTCAGCCTCTGATTCGCTACTGAAGTCCTCAGTGTTCAGATTCTCAAAGTCTGACTCTCCTACAGCGATGGGAACACACACAGTCAGGTTGGGGTTGTGGATGAAAGACATGTGGTCTTCATCGATCATGTATTTGCCCACACTGCTGCCTATGCCACTGGTGGTGCCATTGCCATTCTTCTGGTAGTCCAGATCGCGATTGATGTCCACACCTGTGTGGTTGGCAATGCAGTTAAGCTTTCTGTCATATAGTTCATCCAGGGGCTTGGCCTCGTCTGTGACCTTTCTCCTGAGGATGATGCCCACCAGCTGCCGCACTTTGGCCTTGACCCAAGCAATGCCAAACTTGATGCGGTTCACAGCGATTTGTAGGTTATTCATCTCTCCATCATCATCAGTAGCTGCAAGGTTGTCTGCACTGAAGGAGCTCAGTAGCAAGGCAAGGAACAGATTCAACACCTGAGGAGCCACACAGAACACAGATACAACATAGCTAAGTCATGATGCACTTACTATTTAACCCCGTACTATACAAGGGATGCAAAATGATATTGGAATCACATCAGTAGCAGCAGATGGTGACATATTTACTGTGCTCCAGAAGAGCATAATTTTAGGTGTTTCTGGGATTGTACGCTAAAATTTCTTGATTTTATTCATTTTACTGCATCTGTAGCCCTCTACAGTAAATACTAAATTTCTCTGTAATGCTAATCCAGGTAGATTTAGTCCCAAATTCTGCATTTTATATATAAATGTTTATTTATCAACATGGGTGTCAGCAAATATGTACATAAAAAATATTGGTTACTGGCATTGGCCCACAATTCTCATCTTGGTGCATCCTCACACTAAGCAAACCAAACTGCACTCTTTAACACAAAGAGAAAGAAAGGCACCGAATGGACACTAAAATATACATTTTGAAACGTATCTGCACTTCAATAATAACTTTTAATCAACACTTTTCATAGCTGCATTAGGACTTCACTCTAAGCTCTTACCACTAAGTTTCCAATGACCATGACCATCATAAAGACGATGAGACACATGGCTTGTCCTGCCACCTCCATGCAGTCCCACATAGTCTCAATCCACTCTCCACACAGTACACGGAATACAATCAAGAAGGAGTGAAAGAAGTCATTCATGTGCCAGCGTGGCAGCTCACAGTCCTGAGCAATCTTACACACGCAGTCCTTATAGCTCTTCCCAAATAGCTGCATGCCCACCACAGCGAAGATGAAGACGATGATGGCCAACACAAGAGTCAAGTTCCCCAGAGCTCCTACTGAGTTCCCAATGATCTTTATCAGCATGTTCAGAGTGGGCCAAGACTTGGCCAGCTTGAATACTCTTAGCTGAGGGTGGGTAGGAAAACGGCAAACAGTGAAGAGAACAAAGAGAAGAGGAATCAAGTGATTATTAAAGTCAGCTCACAGAGCATGATCTATAAACATATCATAATATCAAACATCAACAATGATACACTCAACCCAGAATTTGATTCAGTTAGTGGTACTGGGTTCACAATTCCATACTGGCATGATATTTTGAACAAATTTTGAATTAAGTGACTATATTCTATGTGTTGCACAACTGGGGCATTTAACATCAACCTTCAGGAGTGTGTTACTAATTGATGGTTGTTTGTGATTTCTGGTGTTCATTTGTGCATTTGCAGTAAGTGGCATAATTAACAGAATTCCCATTTGCCACGCATTGCCATATCTCCATGATGCTAACTGTCATATTTTGCATCATAGTATCACAGTGTCATGATGCACTATTACACATCTACTGGATACAGTATAGGGATATTTTGTCAGAACAGTAGTAATTATTTTACCATTCAGCAGTAAAACGTACAACCCTAGTACACAGTATGCAGTAGGAATATGTTTACCAATCGGAATGATCTCAGCACGGAAAGGCCTTCCACATTGGCCAACCCAAGTTCCATCAAGCTCAGGCTCACAATAAAGCCATCAAAGATGTTCCAGCCCTCCTGGAAGTAATAGTACGGGTCCATAGCAACCAGCTTGGCAAACATTTCAGCAGTGAAGATTCCTGTAAACACCTGTAAAAGATACAGCAGTTTCAGAAACTCGTTTTCACTGGTGCATAAAGCATCAATCTGCTAATGCATAATGGTTATGTGCTAGTTTAAGGTGCCAAATGGTGTAAAATTAAGCCACTCATAACAGGCCCAGGCGCAGAGTAAGAGACAGTCCGAAACCACTGGTCTTTGTAACATATCTACATATCTGGCTAATGGGAGAAACGTGGCATAAAACACAAACGGCTTTTAATCAGTATATATGAACAAAGAGAGGGCTGTAAACATCATCTAGGGAAGTGCAACAGTACTGTCAGACAGAGTACTGAAGGACATTTTTGGTTACAAAGTCCCAAGCAAGAACAGCAATCAGGGTGGCCTTGACTCCAGGGGACCTGAGCTGGGCCAGGGAGGATGAGTCACACTGTCCCCTGCCTGGACACAGCCTGGTCGCTGGCTAACTAACCTTCGTATGCCATCAATGCAAATACAGCCTAATGTTTAACTACTTGCCAGACAGAAACTGTCTGTCTCAAAGTAACAAACGACTTGTGCATTAGCATCAGCATTAACGTCAAATGTCAAAAATGACTATGAAAACATGTCGCTGGATTCTGGAGAATCATTCAGGTTAACATGGACTCAGTGTAAATGTACATTCTGTGTGTTAAGTGACTACGAAGCAGGTCATATGTTCTGTATAGTAGCTTGTGATAAGAACAGCCATGACCTGTGGCCAATATAGGTTACACTGACAGTGTGGATTTATTACCTACAGTATATCAATCCTGGTAACGCAGTACAAATCATGTCCTGCATGTGTCTTGAGGTGAAAAACAGTGTGATCAATAGTGTTTGCGTGCTTGTGTACGTGAGAGAAAGAAAGAGAGAGAGAGAAAGAGAGACAGTGAAAAAAGTCAAGACAGTCACGTTAAATATAAAGTGTGTCTTTGAGCTATGAGCAGCATTATTCAAGAACACAGGAGCAGGAAACTGCACAGGTTTGAATATTAGGCACCATTTTAGAGCCACTCATCGATCAAGCAACATGAAATATTAATGCGGCCCCCCACCAGGCTTTGAGTACTGCCTCAATCTATAGCACTGTTTCTCAATCAGGCTGCAGACAGAGGATGGTGCATGTGTGTGAGAAAAAGAAAGAGAACATGGAAAAAGTGGCATCCCTATAGACTCTAAAGGAGTAAGCCTTGGGGAAAGGAGACTCTTTAATCCAGTGACTGGACAGTTCCAGATATCTTAATTACTAGACCCTTAGAAGAAAAAAAGAAACAACACCTAAGCGCAAGAAACCAGCGCAAGAAGCTGATTTCATAATCCTCACCAGATTGCCCACAGACAACACGTGCTCGAAGTGTGGAGTCATTGGATAGTGCTCCATAGCCATGAAGAGAGTGTTGAGGACGATACATATGGTGATGGCCAAGTCAACAAACGGGTCCATCACAATCAGGTTCACAATCTCTTTGATCTTCAGCCAGATGGGGCAGCACTCCCAGATAAGAAAGACGTTTGCAAATTTGTACCAACATGGCGGACACTTCCTTTGAGATTCTTCCAGTTCTATAAACAAAGAGGATATATTGAGACACCAAATAATTTTGAGTGATCCTGTACATCTTGTGCACATTCTTATCTTAGCTATCAATACAAATAGCAAAATAAACAAACTAAAAAAGTTAGGCTACCCTCTACTAATGTGTTGGTGATAACGCTCATGACGCTGTTTGCCCGTTCTTTGCGTCCAAAAGAAGCGTTGAGTTGGTCCATAGAAACCATTAGAGAACCTGAGAGTTTCTTCTTAATCTCAACATCAGTCGTTGGCTGTTAGGGGAAAAACAATGAGGTTTAATAAAACCATTCAGAAAAAAAACAGAGCATTACTAATGGGTGGACATTAAAACTGCATCACAGGAGCAAAGAAAAAATGGTTAGAAGAAGATCACTTTAAGATCAGTAAAGTCAGTTAAATAGTCATTTTAATACAATTAGAGCAACATCATGTGAGCTTCAGGCAGAGGAGAGGAGATTAGCTAAAGACAGCTGTGTGTTTCTTTACAGAGACTCTTCACCATGGTGCACAGATGCCTGAGACCTAAAGATATTTGTCTTGAGAGCATGTTAAACCCTGAGTTAATTAAATCTGTCTACTTAAAACAAAATCTCTGTCTCGCGCTCTCTCCTTTTTTCTGAAGACTCCATGTTATTGCACCATCCAGGATGCCAGAGGGGTGGCAGTTAACGTGCATCAGCATGCACTCAGTCAGAAGAGTCAGAGAGGAAAAATCATAGACACCATAATCCATCAGTCCGCTTTCATGCTGCAGCTAGATACACAAGGGCCTTCTGAGAGATTTGTAAGGATTGCAAACTACCATGCTAGCTACAATGAGGAAAGAGAGTAGTAGGCTGTTGTCCATTCAAAGGAGTAGAAATCGATGACAGAACAAAAAGAGAAAAGAAACAAGAAAGGAAAAAAAGGAAAACTAAGAAAAAACATAAAAAGAAAAAGAAGCTCTGCTTTGTCTCTAGACCCAGAAAGACAGTGAAATATGAGAGGGAGTTAACAGGATGTGACTTTGACAAAATGGTGTAGTATAGATGGGAAGCTATCATTTTATACAGCCTGTCCGTCCTCTTCTGCATCATAACACACACACACACACACACACACACACACACACACACACACACGCACACACCAGTCTTGTCTCTGACTGCATTACTGGAGAAACAGGAACACTATGACTTAAGAGCTCTGTCACATGCAGACTGGGATCTTAATGTAACTTCCATTAATGGATCTTAAATTACATTACATTATTACATTACATTACAAAATATTACATTATTTCTCAGCGTAAAAGCAATGAGTTGAAGATCATCACTCAAAGAGGAGGTATGGACGTAAACTCCAACATTTAAATACAGTAAGGTGCACAAGAGACCTTTTTATTGTTTTAATTTTCAGTCAAAATGGCCATGGTGTAGATTTTTGCCTTTACTACAGCTTTATCACACCGTCTTATTACAGTTTCCATCCTTTCTGTGAAACTTGCTTGCAGTTTTTTTGAAAAAGATCTGCAGGGATATTTTCCCACACTTCAGAAGTTCAGTCTTAGAACTTGGTTGCATTTTCTGCTTCTTACAATACAAGCAAACCAAAATACATTCAATGATGTTGAGATCTGAACTCAGGGGTGGATCGTTCATTGTTTTGAGAACAGCAGCAACGTCTTTGTTTGATTTTCAATTTTTCTTTTTTGTTTACTTTCTTTTATCAGTCTTTCTGACAGCTACACATCTTTTCAGACCCACTGTGTTGTCTTCTCACAATGGAAGGATGGACAGAAACACGTGTGGATTTCTTCAGATCTGAAGCAAGAGTAGAGTGTGATTTTCTCCTCTCTCACAGATGAAAGCTTTAAATGCTGTTTATCTGATGGTGAGAGTTTTGGTGCCGCACGATTGTTAGTAGACCCATTCTCTCTGAATCTTTTAATAGTTTTTTGAACTCTAGTTTTGGAAATACACTTTCCTCTTTCTTATGCAAGTGGATTACTATATAGTCTTACCTTCTCAGAATTATCTCTAGACAAATTAATATTTTGTACTTAACATTCATTTGAGTGGAAATTAAATAAATGAAGCTAGTCTTTTGCACAGCACTGTACAATAACATAAATATAAACATAAATATTTACGTAGACAAAAAAATAGGTGTGCAGAATAAATGACATACATAAAGGACAAAAATCTGTGACAATAATTAGCTGGGGGTAATGAAATGCAATTAGAACATACTGTACACTCATTATAGGGAAAAGGGAAATATATTTAACTGTACTTCTAATATGTAAATTCTACCCAATATTTTATGCCCACATGCACATTAGAAATAACTAATGAGACATGACTAAAGAGTTTCATATGTCTTTGTCAGCTCCTTCAGCAGCAAGATTAGTTTTATTTCACTTCATCCTTTTCAGTTTCAATTAGGTGAGGGGCAGCATAGTGAGGCTGTCGACAGCAGAGCTTCAAAACAAAACAGTAAATTAGAGAGTTAAAAAAAGTAAAAAAAATAATAATAATAATTACCAAAGTCAAATGCATGAGAAAACAAAAAGGAGAGAGAGAAATGAAGAGAGAAAGAGAGAGAGAGAGGAGAAAGCCAAGGCTCCAAAAGGAAAGACGTCCATGCCTAGACTGATCTACTCATAGCCTTCCTTACGCTGTCGTCAGAAGCTGCCTTATCTATTATCACCTCAGGCAGAAGGCGTCCTCCAGGCCCAGGCCCGATCAGGGACACCACCCCGTTGCAGTCCACCGTGCTATTGCGCTTGCCGTGGTAGCTGCTGTAGCTGCTGCGGCGGTATGGGCTAAAAAGCGAGCCGCGTCGCTCCTCACACTCCTCCACCGTGCTGTGCTCGTCGTCCGCAAATTCGTTCTCGGACCCCGCATCCCGTCCGCGGCCCTTGAAGCTAAAGATGCTGCTCTTGCTGTTATGTCGTGACAAGAAGGGTGAGGCAGGAATGCTGAGGAGAGACTGGAGCAAAGTGGAAGATAGGAGTTAGGAGACTCCATTCTCTCCACATTTGTGTTTTCCTGATCTAACACACACACTTCAATTTAGGGAGGGTTTGTTAATTGGCTGTTTAGTTGAAGTGGGTGTCATAAAAAAGAGTTGTCAAAATAAAATTCAACACTCAAATATTCAATATACATTCAATTCAAAGAAGTCATTTACATATATCTGTCACAAATGCACAGTAACTACAGCTTTTCTAATAAATATAAAGGATAGAGAAAGGTTGAAAAAAGGCCACCTCAAAAAGGACTGATGGTTTTTGGAACAGAAACATAATTTTATAAGGAACTACAGAGAGAAAAATAAAATACTATACAATGTAGGATATGGGCCCTTTAATACAGCAAAAAAAGGATCCTCTAGACCTCCATGTTTTCTTTTTTGATGTCGTGGGCATAAGTTTCATCAAGCGCTTGAAATGAGTAAAATTGTTTTTACTTGTTAACCATTTGGTATGCATAACCTTCTGATGTAACACACACACACACTGATGTCTTGCTCACCTGGTTCATGATGGAGGTCCTGCGACCTAGACGGTTGTCAGGGAAACGGAACCTACTCCTCTTACTGCCGTCATCTGATTCAGACTTAACAAATTTCTCACTGTCTCCCTTTTCTTTGTCTTGTTCTTTCTGCTTCCACTTCTTCTTACGGTTCCGCCGCTCCTTGGCACTCTTGGAGCTGAGCTTGGACATCTCCGAAGAGCTGCATGACAGGTTCCCCCCACCATCATCCTCCACTGCATCCTCCGATACTGTGCCTGCTGAAGTTGCCATGGCATTCGCCTGTCAAGGGCACCAAGATTGGGGTTAGTCCATACACAAAGGGTAATTCTAAATCTTGATGTGTGAAACACAAATACTAAATATGACCAATTACTGAAACTACAGCTATTAGTAGCATCAGAGAAGCTCTACATAGAAATAAACAATACATAATATACAATAAGTTATGCAAACTGAAAGCAGACCTGGGCTTCCTCTTGCTGTTTCTTAAGCTGTTCCAGCATGGCTTTAAATTCAGCCTCTTTCTGCTCAGCTTCCTCCATGGTGGCCTGATTCTGCTCCTCGTAGGCCATGGCTACCACAGCCAGGATCAGATTCACCAGGTAAAAAGAACCCACAAAGATCACCAGCACAAAGAAAATCATGTAGGTTTTTCCAGCTGCCCGCAGAGTCTGTAAAAGAAAGTATAGGGTCTCAGTTTCACATAGATTCATATCAAACGACAAAAGCTTGTCACTCACCACATTTATGTTTAGGCCCTACTTGAAGTAAAGCCTGTGCGATTATAGCAGTCTTATATGTTTACTGTACGTCACACTGCACAAGAGGTTTTAATTTACATTAAGTTTTTACTCAAATCACTTTAATAATCTCTCGGACATACACACACCTCATTTCATGCTGCTCCTTATTGGCTGTTTTTAGACGTATGTCATGGCAGCAGCACTAAATTTGTATTGTAGGCTGTCTCTGGTTGCAGAGGCAGTAAATCGGTCGCTGCAGAGCATGTCATATTAAATGTTCAAAGACCGACGATTTTAACTCAAAGAATTCTTTCACAATCTGTGACATGTGTCTGCAGCAGCATTTATGGCTGCTTATTCGTGACTTTTTTCAAATTCAAAAGCAAATTTGAATTAGCATTTTCAAACATGCATTGGAATATGAAAACAGAAAAAAAGAACAAATTGTTCTGCCAAAAGCATTAATGTGAGAATTAGTACACAGAATAAACCTGACTTAAAGCACTTCTTACTGATGGAAACACATAAAAAGTCTAAAATTCCACATAGAGAAAATCGTGCAAGGCATCCAGAGATACTGTTACCAGAAACTGTCTTTTGGAGAATGCAAATACCCTTTCATTATACTGAGCCTCAACTGCTTCTTTGTGACCTACTTTTACATGCATGCATATACATCAGTCCTATTATACAGACGAGATTGGGGGCCATTGCCCCCTCAGGGGTGATGGAGTGTGAGGGAGAGTGGAAAAAATAATCCAGAGATAGTCAGAATAGTGAGGAAAAAATGTGACTGGGCAAATGTATATTTTAATATGTCAATTTTATATTTCAGTGGAAACAGAATGTGAATACAGAATATAATCTTAAAGCTCTACGAATTTACCAAAAAAAATAATGCCTCACAAACAACTAAATTAAATAACATTGATTAATACTACCTCACAAATTAAAAATTTAAATTAATTAAACATCCTACAAAGACCCATGTAACCGGTAACTAAGTTATAACGGGGCATAAAGATGCAAAATATAAACTAATATTTAGTTCAGTCAGAGGAGGTGGGCGTTTTTAATGTTCAGTGATGGTAGCTGACTACCTCACTCATACTGCTGCAGAGGTTAGGTGGAGCGAGCAGAGTACAGCTCAGGACTGCTCTCACTGAGACAGTTCTGCCATCGCACAGCACATTCATTATGCAGGCACTTCACAGCGGTCACAAGAATAGTCAGCGAAGCTCGCTGCATCACGCTGACCAGCTGTGAGGGAATATGGGACTGGAACAAACATACACTCAAGCTCTCATGATAAATAAATTCCTTTTTTTCTTTTCAATTTGGATTAACTAACTATAAGAACATAATGGTTATGGTTAACTAAATACTGAATAACTGAGGCACTGAGAGAGATTTGCATGCATCAAGACGACATGAACAGAGAAACTCATCTGATTCTAAGAAGAAACTCATTTAACTCCAAATATCGAAATAACAGAAGCTACAGAACAACAAACATATCATTAAGAAATAAATATAACTCGGCACAATACAAACGAGCAGGGGGCAGGAAGAGAGCACAAAATAAAAGTGGGTGAATATTAAAAACATGGATTCTGAGCATGGACCAAAAATAGGGTAGCCTATGTGCTGAGAAGCTCCCATCTGACAGTCATTTCTCATCTGCTTGCCTGCCAGCACTGTAATCTGCAGGTTAATATTTCATGCTTCCTCCCAGTCACTCCTGTACAACTCTAAAGTGTTTCAGCTATTACAGGGTGGCCTGCAACCTTCTGCTCAATGCAATGGCTGAACACAAAGAACTACAGCTGAGACAGACTCTTTCATACAGGCAAATTCAGATAGTTTGAATGTTTTGCATTGGAAAGGATATGAAGTAGCAAAATATTTAGACCATATAATTATATAGATATAAATATATGCTCATTTTTTTTAAAAAATCCTTAGTACTAAATGAGAGAATATATGCAAATAACATTTTTTACACCGCTCCAATTCACACTTTAAAACAGCATATGTTTGAAATGTAGGCATTAGAAAATCAAGATGTCACTAATATCACTGAAAACAGACAGGCCTGATCGAGCTTTCAGCTGAGGGGAAAAGCATGACCCTTACCAGCTGGTACAAGTTCTCCCAGAAGTCTTGCGTCATGAGTCGGAAAAGAGCCAGGAAAGCCCAGCCAAAGCTGTCGAAGCTGGTGTAGCCATAGTTAGGATTCCGCCCAGCCTTCATACATGTGTAGCCCTCAGGACAACGACTGAGTAAAAACACATAATGAGATGGCACTAATCTCTCTGGCATTCAGACTCATTTAAATAAGATGTAGCACTTCCATAACATTTAGGGATAATCAGAGAATCATTTTTGATGAAATGTATGTTTGGAATTGAGGCTTTGCTGTGCTGAAAGACAAGAAGTAGCAGGACAGACTAACTCACCCAGAGTCGGAGCTGTTCCCACATAAAAGAGCGTCTAGACTGCCAGGGATGAAGTAAAAATTGGCTGATGACAAAGAGAGAAAAAGCTTAAGTTAATTACATGTTTGCAAGAGCACTAGAGTTTAGTCCATTTCCAGCCACTCCCAGATCTGCTTCATTAGAGATCCAGACAAATGAAATAAGCTAGTCTGAACAAGGCAAATCTGATTTCAGACAAATACAAAAATCCAAATTAGACTGAGATTTTCCAACATATAAAACTATCAACCAGCAACAAATCATGAATGGACAGCAACATCCGTTTTCTCAAATTGTTTCATTTTCTATATGGTAGTTTGTTCTGAGAAATATGCTCAATCACTACAGAGCATCAGTCTGCTAATACATGACACTTTGAAGGTCAGACGTGTAAGCGCATGCACTGTGTGAGAGTGTGTTCACGCTGTGGCAATGTTTAGGATGCTGCTCACTCTCATTCTTGATGTATTCATCCCAGTCGAAGCCGCGGCTGCCATTGCCTTGGTAGGATTCGGTAATGTTGATGGGCCAGATGACGCACTTCTGCCGCAGGTTCCCCATGAAGAGCTGCAGGCCGATTAGGGCAAACACGCTGAGGCAGAATACAGTGAGGATCATCACATCTGACAGCTTCTTCACTGACTGGATCAAGGCTCCAACAATGGTCTTCAGACCTGGGATGTGGTGCAAAACACACACACACAGGCACACGCACACACACATATGCACACGCATACATATACACACATACAAGCACAAAGAGGAACATAGGTCGTTGTATGTGTGATCACCTGCCAGATGTGGATAAAAGGAATCTCAAGGCATGATAAGGAGATAAGAGGTATCAGTAGAGGATTTTGGAACAGCTGAATGGTGCAGCCAATTTTATACAAGTTATTTCAACTCCAAACTATACTGTAAAAAAATATTTAATTAAAATACAAACTGTGTTTTTTTTTAACTAACAGTTCCTTCACTGCATCAATGGAAAATTATTTTAAAAAATGGCACATATTCTTTATATGAAGAGAAACACTTCCTCACTTCATATGTGGAATATTCTGTTCATTTACAGATTTATCTTTAAAAATTACACATACTTCCTTTAATGCAAATGAAAAATCTGTTTTATGGTATCTTCTGTACATCTTCACAAGCATTTCCTTAAAAAATGACATATTCCTTATGAATAAAGTAACTAATGGCTAATGTTGTCCAATAGGTGTTAGACAAAATAGAGTACTACACATAAAATCACTATTGTTACAAACAATATGTATATATAGATATATAGATAGTAGGTATGTAACAATACATCGATCTGTATCGATGCATCGACCCAAACAGCAAACGATCCGGTGCATCGATGCGACGCATAAACATCGATGCACGCGCGTTCAAACATTATCTGCATAATTCCTCTTTGTGCGCTACGCTCCTCTTAAGCTGTAGGGGGCGGCATGTTGCAGTCTGCCAAATACATACTTGTGTTTAACAGCTAACAAGGCAGGAGCCATCTGCCAGTCGTCCGAGCAGTAGCAGCGAAGAAAACGGAGTTATACACTCTCCCGTCGATTACAAGTCATGGGTGTGGAAACATATCAGACCTTTGTGTTTGCAAAGAATGTAAGTGTGAATTAAGGTACTCGGGTAACACCACAAACTTGTCAGTTCACCTAAAACGGCGGCATGGTGTTGTTGAAGCCGATGGCTTGAACACGAGAGAGACTCCCGCACCCGCATCGCTGTTGACCACCATTTATCCTCAAAAATTGAGTCACACTTCCGAAAGAGTGAGGAGTATTACATCTGCAGCTTGCTGTTCCAAAAATCGCTCCAACATGTCGAATGAACTATAGCAGCGAGTTATCACGTCCTGTTTTAGCTTGTGTTCTGGAACTCCAAGTAACTTCTGCTTCTCTTTTAGTCAGCGTCAATGAAATGACAGGTTATGGTTACATACGCTTCGGCTGTACACGACGTGCAGCCATCTGTTGTGATTGCGACTCGCCCTGCACCCATTAGCTCTTGTTTAATGTCATCTTGTACATCTTGATACTGTTTAGATATGCAGCTTTCACTGAAGTGTTTTCGAGAGGGAATGTTGTATTTCGGCTCCAGCGTGTGCGGAATTTCATGACAGCCTTCATGTTCTACTCCACTGTAGGGCCGCATGTCCTTGCAAATGAAATAGCATTTGTGAGTTCATAGAAATATAACAGATTGTGCGGAACCGCATCGAAACAGCCAGTACCGAACCGAATCGCATCGTGGCAAATTTCAAAGTATCGAAGATTATCGCATCGTTGGCTAAAATAATCGATGTAAGGTCGTATCGTGATGAATCTTGCGATTTACACCCCTAATAGATAGACAGATATACATACATTGTAACACTCATTATAATTAATAAGTTACAATTATTTGTTTCAGCTTCATTACACTATCAGCTCACAATAGCAGTACAGTTCTCGCTCATAATCTTGTTTGACCCCTCTGTTGCAGTTACAGTAGACACTGCTACTCACTATCCCATGCAAGCTTAGAAATACTGATAAATTACAGTGGAAATCAGAATGTGAATTGTACAAAAAAACAACCTAAAACAGACAAACATTTTTTACAGTGTAGTTGGTGACAGAAGCACACATACAGAAGCCTAATATTCTGTTCGAGAGCACTTATCACTGATAGATGGTTAGCTAAGGTTTTCAACATTTAAGCCAATTGCTATAATCATGCCCAGACCTCCTTTATACATTGAGAAATACCACATACACACAGAACAATAAAGTCAACAATAATCATGTACTATAATCAATACATTGACACAACATTACACAGAAACTGTTTGGGAGCCATCTCTTTCCCTGCTCAATCAGGAGACAGAGTAAACCGTGCAGTCTGTGTCAAAGTGAGCGAGGTAGGGCTGGTCTGAATAATGTGAATTTTATGTGTGTATTTCTGATGTATTTGTGTGTTATGTAGGTATTTACTAGGTATTTGTATGTTAGTATTCAGAAGCTTCATCTTCTGTTAACCCATTAGACCCCACCAAAATTTTAGAACATACTTGTGGATTTTTGACAATTTTCATAAGCTAGAGGCTATGTATCACTGTTCGAGTGAAAAGATATTTATCACAAAACTGGGGAAAATGGTAATTATTTAACAATGGACGTGATATTAGGCAATAAAAAATAACGTCATACGTCAGCATTTAGCTAACGTGAAGTTAGCTAAATGCTGAACACAGCCAAACTTCTCCCTATGTTTTTGAAAGACCACCCCTTTTCATTGAAAGACTGCAGCAAAAATGGCAAACAACATTTAAACAAAGTGAAACAGCCAAATGCACATTAATTTGTTTGTCTACGGCTTTGGCTGTAAACAGTATTCAGTTAAAGAAGTTGAGCTTGTCCCCAGTCACTTGTTTAGCTGCCATGGAGCTGAGAGACTGAAACATACAGAGATGGCAGTCTGCCCGTAAGCTGTAAAAGGGTGTAAATATATACTAATTTAGTATAAAGCAATGAAATTAGTTGCTTAGTCTTCAGTTCTGAATGACATTTATGTTGGCTTATTGAAGTTACTTCAATCGCAATGGAATCGTATTTGCCTATACATCACGTGTACCAGCTAAACTATTGCTAAACAAAGGTTTTTGCAAATTTATGTCTTGCACTTCTATATAATGGTTGCTTTCTAGGTAAGTAAAATTATAATCAGACTTATATGTCTCTTTACTTGAATGTTACAGACTTATTTGTTTAATTACAGACAATTACGTTTAATTATGAAATGTAAATATTATTGTTTTTACGGGTTAAAAAGTTCTTTAATATTCAAGTATTCAAAGCCTGTAAAATACTGTTCAGACCAGCCCTAGTGGAAAGCCACTTATTTCACTCCTTTGAACTCATAATAGTCAGCAAATACATGAATCAGGTTATCCAAACACACACTTGGGCTATGGTCAGATTCCAGTGTTGTGAAAGGAGAGGTTTCAGGACTATCCTTAAAAGAAATAACCTTAGCAATAAAGAGGGGACTCCCCATAAGACAGAGAAGATCCTGACATCCATTAATCTATAAATACTGCAGCACACCAAGAGGGCCATGACAGAAGGAGAGAGGAGCAGGCACGTAAGAAGGGGGTGGGGATCACATGCAGGTCATTTAAACTCTAAGGCTGAACGAACGCAGTCCAATGTTGAAGTCTCATGTGGCTCCATTGGACAATAGCTTATCAAAATCTCACTACAACTGCACTGGCCTATACCCAGCAAGCCCTTTTTACTTCACTCAAACCAAAAGAAAATCCTTAGCCATTACCACAGCTGAATATACAAACAATATTTCTGTGGTTTAGCATCTATAGTCCTCTAAAAGTCCCTTAAAAGTTTCTTAAAGTCAATGGGAATCATGGCTCATTTTCCATCCATACAGTGACAGATTATCAAATTAAACATGATATAACGGGAGGGTCTCTTTGTTGATAGTTGGAGGAGGGGAAACATACTATTGGTTATTACAATGTTTCCCCACCCACTGGCACATGATGACATAGCCAAAAATCAGAAGACGTTTACAGACGAACAAAAGTCATTAAATTCTGATGGAAGATTACAGGGCAAAAAGACTTTTGTCTTTCCAATAATACATGATGAATTGAATTGTGCTAAAAATAACAAGAGACACAAACTAACAAGGTAAAAAAGATCAATTTTCATTTCAGGTTGACTTTAAAATACTGTTGACTGGCAAGTGGGTTTTGGATGGCTCTATCTGTTGTTTGAGAAAACCTCACATAACATAAAATTTAGTACATGTACTAGTCATTATATTTAGCACTTTATAACCTTGCTTATAATAAGAAGAACAAAAGAAATCAATTTTAACAGTTATCTGAAAGTATTTTTGCAGCTTTTTTGCTTTCATTTCCAGGTGCATTTCATGTTGGGATTTCATTGCAAATAAAGTAAATAAAAACGTGAAATAAAAGAGACAAAAATTCAAATAAATAAGTCGGCCAAGCTCTTAGTAGGCTAATATTATAAAAGCAAGTGTCTTCCAAAGCATCATGCAGCATAAAATATATCACAAACTAGGCTTGGCAGTCTTCATAAATAAGTAAGAGGTATTTTCTTTGGGAGTTCGCTGAAGGCTACTGAAATTTTCATCTAAAGATACTAAAGATGGTATGATAAAAGTATTCTAAACTCTATACTCTGAAAAGTATATTCCATGTCTTTTCTCAATGTTCGTATAAACTCTTCAAATTCTTGAAATACGTCATAAGAGTCAGATCTTAAAACATAAAAGGTTTACTTTTGCTTCTAACACTCCAAGAGCCACCTCTGCTTTGTACAGTAGGATGGAATTTCGGATCACTCTGTATGGTTACAGTTCTTCACACTGGTTAATATTCATAGAACCAGCTCTGATATTTCTTCACTTCAATCTACAATGGCATGAAGCTTCTCACCAAAATATAAACTGACAAATCAACATATTTGAGTTGGCTGTGTTTAATTTCTATAAAATCAATCCCAGTTCATCATACAGGAGCCGATAAGACAAGTTCAACTGTTACAGAGGTTCTGGGTCTCTATTGTTGCGCCAAGACACTCTATGAGATAGGGTATGTTCTTTAGAATAAAAGGGAGTGCTGATACTACACGACTGTAATCACATTTGAATAGTAGACTGCAAAGCCTATCAAAAATGTGTAAGTACCATTTTTGATCATTTTAGAGGTTAAAAAAAAGCAAAGTAAATGTTTGTCTCCAAATTAACCTCTGCTAAAATAATAACACTAAAATGAAACGTAAAGGAAATACAAACGAGTCAAACAGAAAAACTCAGCCTCAGTGTTTAAATTAGGCCTCACCTGGAATGACAGAGATAGTTTTCAATGCTCGGAGAACTCTGAACGTTCTCAGCGCAGATACATTCCCCAGGTCCACAAACTCTGTTACATATCTGAAATAAGGGAGGATCACACACAGACACCAAAAATGACCACCACAAACACAGCAAGAACACCACTACCACGCCACCGGACCAGGAGCTACGCCACTCACAGAGCCTGTCCACGGAGAGGGGGGAAAGAAAGGAAAAGGAAAAGAAAAAAACACACACGTACGTACACACACGCACACACACCTAACACCGACCCGGCCCCTCCCAGTCACACACATTCTTACCTGGGATTACAGAAATAGTTTTCAATGCCCTCAGCACTCTGAACGTGCGCAGAGCTGAGACATTGCCTAGGTTTACAAACTCTGTTATATACCTGCAATAATCAAATCAAAGTTACACAGAGACATGGTCATGACAGAATATGGCTGATGTCCATATCCATACATCAAATGTAACTGTTGGTAATTCTTTGGGCTTTTTGTAAGAGAACAGAACTAAAGTGCTATTCGAGTTGGATTAGTTTTACCAGAGAAGGTTGTGTAATTTGTGGCATTTGGCTCGACCATCACTGTGATAAAGTGTGTAATTTATCCAAATTTCCTCAGAAAGCTTGGACTGAAATGCCAAAGCCCAGGTGTTCACGTTAGTGTTACGCCAAAGGTGCAACACTTAATAACAGACACCTGGGTCTATTAGCAAGTTTTGTTATTCCATTAGCATGAGGTTAGTTCAAACTGGACTGCTATTACTGAGGGAGCTCCAGGTTCAGCTAATTTCAGAAGCCCACTCACTAAACCTTTGCTGTCAGGCTGTTAAAATAAAAACACTGTAGATTAGAATTAAATTAGAATTAAAACACAGAACCTGCGACTTACATTACAGCACCTCCCCAGGCAAAACTATTCCAGCTCAAACAGAACTTATTAGGAGTTTCTAGGGTCAGTAATGCTACAACCATTCTGAACTTCAGTTATCAAAATTTAAAATTAAATGCAATCAATTTTTTGCGGGCATGTTGGCTGAGTAATCAGGACTTCAGGAGAAAAAAGAGAAAGCTAGAGATAGAAAGTGTTAACGTGACAAAGTGTGTTAACTATATGGGCTTCCCAGGAGCTGCCAGTGAATTGCACTAAACACAGTCTTGCTGGAACATTTTCAAGGTGAACAGTCTTAGAGGAGCAGAGAGAAAAAAGCATGAGCATTCAGGGCCAGCAACAGAAGACAGGTACATGCCTTGCACATTGAAGAGAAAGAAAAAATGACAGATGAGATGGCAGAAGGAGAAAGTAGCTCAGAGAGAAATAAACAGACAAAGAGACAGAGCGAGACAGAGAAAGACAATTCTTTAGACATGTGCTTAAACTGCTAGAGGGTTCTGAATGAAGTAACATCATCATAACCTGTTCTCACACTGTAAAACAATTACTGCTTGGCAAGTAAACCATCTTAAATATACTTAACAGTAGGGCTGAGCAATATAAAGATATCTATTAATATATATATAAATTACGTTACAATATGCGTTTAAGCAGTCTTATTAAGTAACATTATCTTACTGCACTGTCGGATATTTTTAATTCCTTAAAGCATTATATCTTGAAACAAGCAAAACTGAATGTCAAACAAACAGTAAAACAAAATGACTTAAATATATAAACATATCTAGAAATACATTGAAAATATGTATTAGTAACAATTATTAGTATAGTAACTAGTAATATATTAATATACAACCCCGTTTCCATAAAAAAATTAGGATGCTGTGCAAAATGTAAATAAAAACAGAATGCAATGATATGCAAATCATGAAAATTGTATATTTAATTGAAAATAGTACAAAGACAACATGTCAAATGTTGAAATGTATTGTTTTTTGAAAAATATATCCATTTTGAATTTGATGAAAACAACACATTCCAAAAAAGTTGGGATGCATCAGCTCTTCCTTTAACAACACCCTGTAATCGCTGTAGTTTTTAAAGTGATTTTACCATGTTTCACCATTTTTGCTTGATATAGGGTTTCAGCTGCTCAACAGTTTGGGGTCTCCTTTGTCACAGGAGACAGGTCTGGCAGGCAGGCCCTTGTTGTAACTAAGTAATAAGTAAGGCCTTCCCTGAAAAAGACTTCATCTGGAGTTTTAACTTACATTTGTGGATGCAGCGTCGCACTGTGCTCGCAGACAATGATTTTCGGGAGTGTTCCTGTGCCCATTCCGTGATTTCCACTGCAGAATTTTGTCATACAGTGCCGTCTGAGGGCCCGAAGATCACAGCAAGCCAGTATTGGTTTTCGCCCTTGTCCCACGCAAACAGAGATTTCTCTGGATTCTCTAAATCTTCTAATGACACTTCTGTGTACCATAGATAATGAAATCTCCAAGTTCTCTGCACTATTTGCCCTATTGGTGAACCCCCTCCCATCTTTACTTCTAAAAGACTCAGCCTCTCTGGGATGCTCTTTTTATACTCAATCATGTTACTGACCTGTTGCCAATTAACCACCACATGTTTTTTTAGCATTACACAACTTTACCAGTCTTTCGTTGCCCTGTCCCAACTTTTTTGAAGCTTTTTATTTTTTTTAAAAAACAATAAAATGTCTTAATTTCAACATTTGATATGTGGTCTTTGTATTAATATAAATAAAATATACAGTTTTATTGATTTGCTCATTATTGTATTCTGTTTTTATTTACATTTTTGCACAGCACCCTAACTTTTTTGGAAACAGGGTTGTATACATATTTTGCTCTTTTTACAACAATCTCGGAATAAAAAATATTTTTTCTGACCCTGCTGCTGCTACAAGTACTACAATATGCCTTTATGAAGGTAGCAGAGGTGTTTGCAAGAAGATACTTACGCCATTGAAATGACCATGAAATCCAGCCAGTTCCATGGATCTCTTAGGAATGTGAAGTCATCTATACAGAATCCACGGGCAATGATTTTTACAGCTGATTCGAATGTATAAATGCCCGTGAATGTGTACCTAAGTACAAGATGAGAAAGCAAGAGGAAAGTGGTTGTGGGTATAATAGGCAGACTAATCACCCTAGTAATAAAGCAAGCAAGGAACCATATGCTGGCATGTTGTCAATGTCATAACAAAACCTCATTTCTCCGAAATGGTAACTTCCAGTTCTGTTGGTCCTTTTTGCATGAAACGTTTGCACTATGTAAATGGCAGCTGGTGTTATCAAATGGTAAAAGAGAAAAAATAATGGATTTATGAGGTTTTGATATGACGGCTATAATAAGACACACAATGGCACTCTATCCTCCTCCTCTACTGCAGCAGATGACAGGCTGGTGTGGTAATGTGCATCGTTCATTGATTAATAAGAGCAATGAGAAAGTGAAAGTATGTTGGTTGGACTGCAATCCTAAGCCAAAACATGCAAAAGTACAACATGCATGTTGCTGAAATATAGGAGCTGTGTAGCTTTTTAAGCTAAAGGTATCGTAGGTTAAAAAAGACATTTAGTGCACACAATCTTACATACACTTACACCAACACATTTTGTGTTCAACTGGCCTATTTTTTAAATACGTATTAAAAAGCATGCCTTTTTGCAGTCAAAATGGGTGCATGCAGTGGGGAATGTGTACTTACTCTACTTGTTTGGACCACTCGGGAGGATTACTAAATGTCATGAATACACAGTTGGTCAAAATGGTACACATGATGATCATGCTGAATAAAGTGCAAAAGAGTTAAGGAAACTGCACCATATCAGCAGAGAAAGACATACTGTTAGAAACATTCCAACAATTAATGTTAGCCATATCACAGCAACATATTTTACAACTCAAATTAGATTATATACTGTAAAAATGTGTAAATTCTTTATTTTATTCTGAATAAAGAAATGATCAATTATGTGAGAAAAGGGCAGAGGTGATTTTAGTTCCTTAGATTCCCAACAGACTACTGCATTGGTAATGCCATCTAGGACTATCATGTTTTAGGATTTAACACCATAGAACAGCATTTCACTCTTCAGAAGACCTACTGAGAATCTACTGTGGTTACATCAATTGGGTGGTTAACGAAAGCACCAGTCATTCTCGCTTAGAAGTAAACTACAGCAAAACTACAATGGACAAAAAGCTTGCCCACTTCAGTTTAAAAGCCCAATTATTTCAAAAATTTAAAAATTCTCTTCAAATACAGACAGAAAAAAGGGTACTGCACAGACATATTTTGTCCACCAAGGACATAAGATAAAATTGTGCACCTTAAATGAGCTTTAAAATGTATATTTTATTTTCTGGGGTAAAGGTGCACATATTCTTTACATTTTAAGCAGTAAAATATAAGAAAACGGGTGAAGTCAAAACAGGACTTACAAAAACCTTAAGAACAGTTAAAACCAAGAACTGGAACAAAATAGAGGCAATTCTGTTTCTTGAAACGTACCCTTGAGGGTACCACCCCAGAGACAGTTTTTGTACGTAAAAAGTACTGTTTAGTACCTTTTTTTTCTGAGAGTTTACGGCACGTACGAAACAAATCAAGTTAATGTTCACTTCACTATCTGGTTAAAAGGTATAAAGCTACTTTATAATCACACAACTTTCACAATGGCTGAGCCGTCATGACAAAAAAACAGTATATGTGACATTTTTTTGTACAAATCACATAAGCATGGTATGGCACTGTTGGAGGCACTGTTGGATGCCCTGTATTTAAAATAATGGGGTCACTAAAATGTAATCAAAGCAAAGTCTGGCTTTTAATGTAAAAAATAAAATAGCAAACAAAATAAGCAATCATCAAAAAAAAAGGTGGAATAGATTAATAAATGATTTTTCATTGGAGGGGCTCGGTTAACCTGCCACACTAATTACACATAACTCAAAGATCTACTGATCACTTACAGGGATACTGCAGTGTTTAGCAGATGTGCAAGCGTAATAAAAGCAGATACAGCACATTTACAGTGATGGTTTACCCAAAAATTAAAATCGTACACAATTTCTGACACCATATAAAAATGTTCAAAAGAATGTTACATAGCTAAAAGCAGCAATTTCAGGCATCCTGAAGCCAGAATGTTTTCCATGTTTTTGTCTATTTTATAGATAACAGTATGTACATAAACATAAACAGCGTGCCATAACCTGCCAGAAAACACATAAGCATGTCTATTTGAGATTACTTAACAATTTTACAACAGTCTGAAGGAAGTGTGTGATGTTTTAAGCAGGTTTGAAGAAGCAAACATGTCTTAACTGATGACTGTATTTGGGATAAGGGGAAAATTGTGTTCATTTGATTTTTGTCCAAACCATAATTTTAAGGCAATTTCCGTGACTGAGAATTACCAGCCATTCCTCACATTTCAAAGAGTAATGCAGACAAAGATGCTGTATGTGCTCCTTAAAAACTATGAAGAGTTGCTGACCTATCACTGCTGATTCTGTTTTATCAACATGCCAAATGCAAATGCAGAGTACCAAAACACGGCCCTAGGGTGCCTCTGCCCCTTTCCCCTCTTTCAGTTCTCAAGATGGCAGCCCTCAAATGCGCATGCCATTACATTCCTCCACAGAACGAATGACTGACTCACTCACTCTTGCCAGTTAGTAATCATTAGCCTGATATAAGATCCCTAACCATTATATGCACTGCAGTCTTACTGGCAGTATCATTAGTCTCAAGCTTGAGAGACAGCATTTATGAGACAGCAGGAAAAAAGCACAGGACATTTCACATTTCTCACATGCAAAAGCAGTTTGAAAAGGATATGAATGTATCAAAATTTTAATAGCTATTCGCCTAACAATATTAAAAGGACTTATCATGTACAACGACGGTGTGGCACTAAAGCGGAAGATTGTTTTCCCTCTGTTGAGCACTATAAATGTCTGCAAAGAGAAAAAAGAGGGGCAGGGGAAAAGAAAGAAAGGTAGACAGAAGACACACACACACACACACAGAGAACATGAGAGAAAGAGAGGCTTAGATTAGTTTCATATAAAAACCTTATTAGTCACAGTTTCAACATTTTAAACAACATTATCATCAGACTGTTTTATGGAAGAGTTGTTACAGTTGCAATTTTCAAGTGGTGAAAACAAAACGTCAGAGTAAAATTCATAGCAAGCAGACAATATGCACAGAAAAGACTCATACACAGCTTCTAGAAACACATTTAGGCACTGGGAGATAAATGACAAAAAAAACAACAAAACAACAATGAAAATAAATATGTCAGAGTGCTATTCACAAATCGCCAAGGGTTCCTGATAAAGGGCTGGATCCCATTTTATTCTAAAAGTACCAAAGAACTGCAATTAAATGACACCTATGCATGTCAGAGCAGAGTAACCGCTACATGTGTGCTACTGGACTTTGATAGTAAGTAAAAGGCAGTTTTCATCACAAATCAGCAAACACTCAATAGCTCGTTCTTAGGATTACTTGACACAGCAAACTCGGCCGCCAAGTTTCAAGTCCAGGCACTCCAACTTCATGAAACAAGGTTGATAAACAGTCAATGAAAATACATCCTAGAATCATGTTGAACAACATCCTTTTAAAAATAATTGCTTCCAACAGATAAACGGTAAACAAAATAATACAAAGGAGGTTTATCAGATGGCTCAAAAGCAGCTCCTCCTCATGGGCTTTATGTAAAATTGGTAGTTTTTTATTTTGTCTGTTTCCTGAGTCATTACAACAAACAAATGACAGTTTCTCAAAGCTAATGTTTCTTTAACCAGCTGCCTTAACTAGCCAGTAACAACTGTTTCAGCAGTTGTTTGTGCCATTTTTTTCTTCTTTATTCTTCATTGTAAGCCTGCTAATGCGATCTACATAGCTAGATTATTCAGTTACTCCTCTCTTGACACCACCTAATTTTACACAGAGCAGAGATTCCTTAGGGATCAAAAAGAAAAAAATTATTACAGAAGGGAAGACCGAGATGCAGTCCTTATACTCGCAGGTTTCTAGGATATGATAAGCAAAGACATCAACCATACCAGTAGACTTGAACATTAATTATCAAAGGCTTAACATACACAGAACGGATTTAAAAAGTTAAATATATAATACAACAAATACACAGATGGATGGATGGATGGATAGATATAGACAGATAGATAGATAGATAGATAGATAGATAGATAGATAGATAGACAGACAGAAACAAGACAGCACTGACAGCTTGAGAAATTATAAAAATGCCCCAAATATGCAAATGTGAATAGCAGATGACTTTATATAACGAGAGGAAAATGATACATCAAATGATACAAGCTGCTAATTTGTGCATCAGTAGAGTAATCCAATGTGCTGAGTGCAACTTCGATTGTTTTTGAATTGCTTTGTGTTACTGTCCAGTCTCATCGCATGAGCGTTCATGTTGCAGACTGTGAATTCCTTTAAGGGAAGTAAGTACAATTAATAATACCCCCCATGTGCTACACATATGAAACAGCTGGGTAATTTAGTATGGTTTACTGATTAATGCATTTCAGTGTTTCTAGAGCCTTATGCAGATGTCGCCTATTGTTTTCTTGGGATTCCAATCTTCATAATACTCTTTCATATAATCTTCATGCTGTAAATTGCTAAAACAATCCTAAACCAGAGTTGGGCGATATGGCCAAAAGTAACATCAGGATACTTCAGGGAAGTTTTTTATGATACATAATGTGTCATGATATTTTTCTGACATCTGATAGGTTAGAACAGCCAAAGTGGTGCCACATTTCAAAAATACCATCAAAAATATGAATCCACTTAATCGTATTCATCTTTTCACACACTGAGCTACATTAAATCCAACTAAAGATGATTAACTATGTTCTCTTCTCAATTAAAAATTCATTTAGAAAGTGCTTTTGAAGTACTGATGTGATATGCTCAAAAAAACCTATTGTGACAGATTGTGATGTAATTTATCACGATAATGACAAATATTGTCATATTGCTCAGCTCTTTTGTGAACTACACAAAAAATAATGTAATCCAACTTAATAGAGTTGAAATGTGCTGCATTTATGATGAGTCGAGTCCTTTCCTGAACAAGTAAAATCTATTCAAACTGATCTAAGTTACACCACCAGTATGTTCTACACAGACTGCCCCAACGTTATAACCTCCTAGAGAACTAATGGACAGAGGATGAATACTGAAGCCGCTGACAGGTTATATGCAGCTATGGGCGGCACTCTGGGTCGAAAAGATTAGGGAGAAACAGATTTACGCGACAGTTAAACAAGTTGTTCCTCTTTTAGAAAAACAAAAAGGTGCTGCGCTGACCACACGTTCAAAAGACGAATTGTTTATGTTAATTCCCGGTTTCTCAACAGTAACGGATCGGGTGTAACGTTAGTAGTACTCGATAATAGCACACGAAGCCATTCAGCGTTTTAGCTGTCGACTACACAAGTCTTTTATTACTCATGCTAACTAGCTAGTTAACCTAAATATGACTTTAACGATGGCTTGATAATATAAAGAACGCAGTTACCGTTAGATGTAACTTAGTAAGGACTCGGTTTAGTTCTCTTCTTTATCCCAAACAGAACAGGCTGAACCAGCTGGTTTATCTAGCTAGCTGGCGCTGAGGCTTCTAGGTTAGCTAACACTGAGAAAAAAGCTAACGCAAACTAACTGTTACCAAGCGAAAACAGGTTAAGTTACGGTACATGCTAGCTTGCCACTCAATTTATTTGAGACTCGCTTGCTATTACACCAACCTGTTTCAAACACAACAACGAAAATATAACTTAACTTACCTTCAGTTTTAAGCTAACGTTACTTTGCTAGGATAACCTTAGCCGCGCTGGTTGAATTCACAAGGACCTAACATTAACGTTACCTGACGTTAGTGATGCTAACATAGCTCATGCTAACGAAATATTTTTTTCCTGACAAAAAGTGTGACAACGACAGAGAAATGAACTAACGTAACTAGCTAAACCGCTAAGGTTTTTTCCTCAGCTGTAGCGGTTCAGCTAACCGTTAAAAGTTTCCGTTGAATTTTGAATTTGAACTGAGAGTTTGAGTGCGCGTGCTGCGCGGGCTGCGACAGTGCAATAGCTACGCCAACTGGTGCTCTGCATATAAAAACTCATTTACCCGCATGAACAAACTTCAATAACGTAAGAACCCATCTCTGCTGAGGAAATACATTTTAACCGCAGCTTAACAACTAGCACTAGTCTGACCACTGTCATTAATAACTACACAGCTAGCACAGAACAGACTATGTCCTCTCTGAGCTCCAGCTGACATATTCTAAAAAGTCAAAACAGGGTATTTCAAAAAGTAGTGGGAACAAGCACAGCATAGATGAAGCTTATGCAGACAGCCAAATTGAACTTCTCACTCTAAGCAGATGCACCTACTCTGCAACTTTCACATCTATGCTCTGAAACAAAGGGAGCCATTTTTTGTCCTGAGTATTTAACAGCTTAACAGCTCCCACTGCTTTTTACGATGCAGGCCATGGTGGATTCAAACCAGGCAAGAGGTGCTCTCCATCCTCGCGGCAGATATAGCCTCATAATTATTTAAATAAAACATGGCGGCTGCCATCAAAGTTTAATGGGGCGCTATGTGCATTTGCAGAAGTGATAGGCAACCCTGCACTTTTCACTGTGTTCCAGTCCTCAGTCCAGCTGTGGAAGAGGGCCTTCTTCAGCACCATGGACAGCAACGCCAATGTGTAGGCAAAATGTGCTTAATCATACATGACACAACACATATATAACACAAACAAACATTTAATTTTAGAACATTTCATGCTTTGTTGATGTATTTTGTATGTAGTAAGCATCTTTATGTACGTTTGTACCCTGTGTACAAATGTAAATATGCAGCCACACTGTACTTAATCATTGAGTAATGTGCAAAAGTCAAATTCTACCCTTCATTTATGAAAATGGCCATTAAGTACAAGCAGTTTTTTTGAGGAGGTTTTCCATAAAACAAGGAGGAGATAAAGTAAGATAATCCACTTACTTAAATAAGTAAAAGGAAAATAAGTGAAAAGTTTTCAAAATTGTAAGTTCAAAAAGTGATTAAAAGATACAGAGAAATTGGGAATCCTAACAACCTTGTAAGACCTGGTAGACCACCAAAACTGTCCCTATCAGATAAACAGCACTTAAAGCTTTCATCTTTGAGAGAGAGGAGAAAATAAAGCTGCTTCAGATCTGAAAACATCCACAGATGTTTCTGTCCTTCCTTCCACTGTGAGAAAACAACTCAGTGCTATGGGTCTAAAAGGATGTGTAGCTGTCAAGAAACTCTTACTGAGAAAAAATTAAGGGATATAGATTACAAATTTGAATCTTTTTAACAGATAATATTTTTTCTGAAGAATATATTTCTCATACCTCATATTTCTCAAAATACCTACGTTTTCTGGCTTCTGTTTCTCTGTAAGGCCTGTTACATGCTCCTTGAGAAGGATGCTGTTAAATGAGATAAGGACTTGTTTAAGCCTATCTCCAATCTACTCTACCAGACAATGCGGCGGCCGATGGCACAGGAGTTGAAACTGAATATTTTCATCATTGTAGAACTGGCTGAAAGGTGACCATTTGGGAACACTGAAGGCCTTCAGCCTGACTGTGAGTGACTCTTGCTAACACTATGTTTGTTGACTGAATCTCACTGATGACACAGTGTTCAGTTTTGTTTCTGAACTTATCCAAGTCTGCATTATAATAGTTTTGATTTGTAATGATAAATCAACAATTGTATGTGTAGACTGTCTAATTTACATATAATTTGCATAAAGGTTTACCTGGTTTGCCAAGTCTGTGTTAAGGGGGAAGACATCTCCATGTGTTCTCACCCCACCACTTTCTCTCTCTTTCTCTGATGTAAGAGCTTTAGCCTGCTC